GCTGGATCTTCACATCACTCCTCCACCTTACCATTCAGCGTCACAGCTCCTGCTCTTGCTCTTCCGCATCCTGCTCCGTATCCCACTCATCCTCCTCTGTGCCCCTTTCAGTACCCATCCCCCTCAATGATCGCGTTGTTCCTCATTCACCGCATCATTGCACTCCTCTCCCTCGTCATCATGATCATCGCCATCCCCTTCGTCATTCTCATTCTCTCTCCTCCTCCTCCTCCTCCTCCTCCTCCTCCCCCTCCTCCTCCTCCTCCTCCTCCTCCTCCTCATCCTCCTCTTACTCGCTCGCCCTCCGCGCTCAACCTCCGTCTCGTCACCACTCCTCGGGATGAGAAGGGGAAGTGATGAGTGAGGGGTCTTTGGGGCAGGGGAGCGAGGCATTTCATGTGGAGGGGGGGGAGGCGAAGGTCGGAGAACGGGAGGGGGCAAAGGGTGAGGGAGGAGTGAGGAGTTCGAAGGGAGGGAGGAGGAAGCGGGAAAGCAGGGAGGGGCGAGGGGGGAGGAGAGGCAGGGAAGAGACGATAAGAGGAGGATAATGGGAGAACGGGAGTGAGGGAACGGGGGAGTGAGGGGAGTGAAGGAGGAGGGTGGATGAAGTGAGGGAAGGGAGAAGGAGCAGTGACGAGTAAGGATATGAGGACAAGATGGTGTGAGGGAGTGGGAAGGGAGGAAGGGGGAAGAGTGGGAGCGTGGAGGGTGCAGGAGAAGGAGGGAGTCACAGAGAGAGGCAGAGGAAATGAGGAAGGATGGAGGAAGGGAGCTCGGGAGTGAGGGGCAGGTGGAGCGAGGAGGCAAAAGGAAGGAGGCAGGGAGGACAGGGGAGAAACGGAGAGGATGGAACAGAGATTGATGATGAGGGAAGGAGAAGGGACAGAGCAGCCATCCGAATTCGTTCCACATTCGAATTGAATACACGTCATGTCGCACTTCCTCACCTGACTCCCTCATCACATGTGTCTTCCTTGTCTTTCTCCTCCACATCCTCCCCCTCCTACACCTAAGCAACCGCTCAGTCAAACAACCCCAACTCTCTCAACCATCCTTCAATCAGCCCTCCATGTTTCCACTTGTCTCTATCCTTCTGTTTTCCTCCCACCCGCAGTCGCTTCAACCTCGACCCCGTCTCCTTCCCCCTCGTCTCCCCCCCCCCCCGTGCTGCCTCCTCACTCCACATCTGATCCCTCACCCCCGAACTCTCTTCCTCCATCATCCCTTAATCCCTTCTACCTCAACTCCCTACTCCCCCCGCACCCTCCTCGCGCCCAATATGTTCCCCTATCTCCCTCCCTCCTCGATCCCTTCCTCGGTCCCCCCTCCATCCATACTCATCGTTCGTCCCATTATCCTCTCCCTCACTCTTCCTCCTCCCTCACCCTCACTCTCCTGTTCTTTCCCTCCCTCCCTCCCTTTCTCTGTGCCTCCTTGCCTCTCTCCGTCCCGCCCCCCTCATTTCTCCGTGCTCCCCCTCTCCCCCACTCCTCACTCCTCCCTCACCGCTTGCCCTTTCCCCGTCTCCTCGATTGCCCCTCCGCCCCGATTGCCTCGCTCCCCTGCCCCCTGGCCCCCTCACTCGTCACTCCCCCTCTTCATCCTCCGATGGGGGGTGCCGAGGCGGAGGAGCAGCGAGGAGGGTGAGCGAGGACACGGGGGAGGAGTAACAAGGATGAGGAATCTGGTGACGATGATCCGGGTAAGCGAAGGAGGATTCGGAGGAGGAGCGACACCAGGAACTGGACGCTGTATGCTGAGGAGTTGGAGTCTTCGGCTGACGCGCAGGAGTTAGGTTGAGAAAAGGACAAGCCAAGGGCGAGGAGGAGGAGGAGGAGGAGGAGGAGGAGGAGGAGGAGGAGGAGGAGGAACGGCATCGAGGAGGAGCGCGGAGCAGGCGGGTGATTGATGACGCATGGCGGGCGAATGAGAGGATGATACAGGGGATTAGGGGAGTGAGGACATTGAGGAGGGGGACTAAATAGGATACGCATTCATGGGGAGGAAGGGGAGGAGCGACGAGGGCTGACTATACAGGATATTGTGACATTTAGATGAACAGGAGATTACATAGCGAGGGCAAGCGATGCAGAGCGGGTAAGGAAACGAACAGCCAGGAGGTCAATAAGCCGCGAGGTGGGCAATTGCTGGGCACGGTGTTCAGACGTATCCATTTCTACCAATTGGGCAGTCACACTTCATGTGCGCCTAGCCGCCGTGTCTAAACACATCTGAGCGTATGTACACGCACCCAGACATCATTCCGTATCTAAGCTGAATGGAAAATCATTCCGTATCTAAGCATTCAAATGGTTTGTAGCGCCCGCATCTAAGCATTTCCACAAACAAAGACATCCATTCATATCCAACTATGTCCAACACCAATCAATGCGTGTATGTATATATATATATATATAATTGTATCTAATTTCCAGGCAGACAGCATGGTTAAACACAACACACACTAGTTAGATACTGTTTTGGGACATCCTGACATGCAGCAGATCCACGGAAACGCACACCGATTACATATTCGCGGGCCTGCCTTGCAGGGCAGAGCCTTCCCAGGGCAAGCATCGTGCCATTCCTTTTGGACAACGCACGTGTGTAGCACATTCGCTGTTTTCATGCGCGCAGCGTCCAAGACGGCCTCAGATGCCCCCAGGAAAGCCCCCACGCGCGTCAAGAGGTCCCACAGAGAGCCTCACAACAGCTCAAGAGGCACCCAGGACCGCCCAAGACGGCTCCAAGCGGGGCCTGGGGGGAGAATTGCGAGCCTACGCTTCGAGGGCTCCGCCCCAAGAGGACACCGAAGACAGCCAACAGGCCCCCACGGACCCTCCCCGAGAGGACCAAGAGGGCCCCAAGACGCCCAAGACGGTCCCAAGAGGACCCTCAAGAGGGCCCGAAGAGACAAGCATCGCCCCATTCCCGCAGGAACGCGCACGTTTCTAGCACCTTCACCGTTTTCACGCGCGAGGCGCCCAAGACGACCAAGAGGTCCCGAGACAGCCCAAGAGGGGCCCAGGAGGGAATCCAAATCCACAGTTCGAAGCATTTGCCTCAAGAGGACCCCGACAGCAGCAATCATCTTCCCACAGACCCCCCCCGAGAGGACCAAAGAGAGCCCCAAGACGCTCCAAGACGGCTCCAAGAGGACCCTCAAGAGGGCCCGAAGAGGCACACATCTCCCCATTCCCTTAGGAGCTCGCACATGTGCAGCACATTCGTTGCTTTCATGTGCGCAGCGCCCAAGACGGCCTCAGAGGCCCCCAGGAAAGCCCCAAAACGGCCCAAGGGGCACCCAGGACCGCCCAAGACGGCCCAAGGTAGGGCTTTGGGGAGGGGGAATGTAAGCCCACATTCCGAGGCTTCTTCCCCAAGATGACCCCGAAGACGACCAGCAGGCCCCCCCAAAAGAACCCAAAGAAATCCCGAAAAGGTGCCCCAAGAGGTTTCCCCAGAGACGCGAACAGGTATTCAAGCGGTCCCAAATCAACAATCCAGGCAAGGTGGCAGGCAGGATGTGCAGAGGGCCACCAGGAGGGGCCACGTGGACGAGGGGCACGGTGGCCCCTCCTCCCCTCTTCGTACCCTGCTCCTGCTCCTCGCTTTGAGAGACTCCACGTCTCTTAATGTTCCTTCCCGCTCTGCCCTCGTTTTCGTCGCCGTCATGCTCCTGGACTCCCTCGGCCCCCAAGCATCCCCCCTCGTCCGCTTAGCCGCCCTCCTGAAGACCTCCGTGCTCAGGGAAGGACTGATAATTACCTGCTTGTGTAGCGTCTTCGGGTTCAGGACACATCCGAAACCGTCGCCCAACCCTCGGCATCCCTCAGCGACCTGAGATCCCAGAGAACCTGAGCGCGCGCGCGCGAAGCGCGCGCGATGATTACATTATATATATATATATGCATATATGTGTATATATATATATATATATTCAGATATGTATAGAGATAGATACCTGTATGTTATCATATCTATTGACTGTGATATCGATTGGTCGGACGTGTTACAGATCTATAGTCTCGGCTCAAACATACGGGATTCGGTACATGTGTAGATTGTGAGGCCGTGCGTTTCATCCTGGCTTCTTATCGCCAGAATTGTTTCTGCATTGTCTTTTTTTAATTTGCTAGACAGCGCGGCGGCGTCCCTGTCTCGGCATGCTTCCGCTGCTTGCCCGTCAAGGAAGGGTCGGGCACCCCCAGGCGAGACTTTGCCCGCCTGCCTTATCACTATCGGACACCAGGGCCTGTTTCGAGCCATTGGGTGTGGGCGAGGGGGCTGGGAGATCGAAGGCGTAGGGGGAGGCGAAGAGATACCCGTTCGTGCACTGGGCGCTGTCAGGCACACCTGGTAGTGTCCTGGGCCGTGTATCAATAATTGCAACGGTTTCCGTTGTCTCTCTGTTCCTAGGTAGTGGTTTTCCGTGCCGAGAGAGGACAAGCCAGGCAGGTTTGCATAGAGGGACGGGTATCGCCCTCCCCCACACGAGAACAGGCAAAAACAGGGACAGGGCGCCATGCGGCACAGGCTCGCGCGGCCAAATTTGGCTCTCGCCCGATTCCAATTCCTCTTCTACGTCCCCTGCCCGCACCCCATCCAAGCTCCATGCCCCTGCCCCCGCCCTGTTCCCTTCCCCTGCCACATTTTCCCCTTCCTCTCGTCGCTCGTCGTTTCTGTGTCTCGCAGCTCCAGAGCATGTTTTGTGTTCCAATGTACCAGATCCAAGAGGCCATGGCCTCCCCCACCTCGTCTTAGCCAGGCCCAGACGATTGTCCGCAGAGGGAGTTCGTCCGTCTGTTCCCCCTCGAGGCCATGGCCTCCCCCACTCCGTCTCCGTCATGTCCGGGCGATGGTCCACAGAGGTGGCTCGTTCATTCTTTCTCCCTCGCTCTCCCCCCGGAGGCTCCGGAGGTCTGATGACCAAGAACGTCCCAAAGCATGTATCTTCGATCTTCGACCCTCCTCCCCCTCCCGCCCTTTTGGCCCATGAGGCCCACCGGCGTCGTAAAGGACGAGGCCGCCTTCCAGCGCTACCTCAGCCGACCAGCTCAAGGCGAGCGTGTCGGGAGAGGAGTAGCAGCGCGAGGACCCGTGGAGGAGGCATTGAGGAGGAGGAGGAGGAGGAGGAGAAGGAGGGGGAGGAGGAGCAGGACCCAGACCTCCTCGAGTCATGACTAAATCACGACGTGAGTTTGTTTCGCTATTTTCGGCCTCATGGGGGACCTCACCGGGCCTCGAGGCCGTGAAGTAATCACTGAGGATGAGGAGCTGGTGCCCAGGAATGGGTCGAGATCGAGACTTCCATTGGCCGACGCCACAGAAAATCATGACGTCGGGGGTCTGATGAGGAGGGGGGAGTGGAGGGGGAGGAGGAGGAGTCCAGGACAGGGGGGACAGCGAGGAGAAGAGCAACATTGCTTGAGCGTTTGGGGCCTCTTTCTGTGGCCTCCAGGTGCTCCCAGCGATGCCACCCTTGGGAACGCCCATGGACCTGTGGAATGAGCAGGAGCAGGAGGAGGAGGCCTGCAACAGAGGCAGCAGCAGCGGCGGTGGTGATTCTGCGTCGGGCTGCTTGCCCTTGGGGGAGGGGGGGGGGGGGGGCTTCTGGAGGCTGGCCCCCTTGTCCAAAGGGGTGCTTTGCCAGACCCATCGCGCCCAAGATATGTTCGCGTCGCGGCAACAGCACCACGGGAGGCTTGTAAGTGTTTGGCCTCCGGGGCCCTCGCTGGGCTACCGGGACCGCGAAGAAACGATTCGGGATGGGAAGCCGTCCTTGGGGAAAATGGCGGGACTTTTTGGGGCCCCCTAGATGTCAGATAAGCCGATGATGATGACGATGACATGCCGATGACGATGACGACGATGACGATGACAATTTCTGGTGCTGCGCTGCTGCGCGTGTCACGGCGCAGCCTGACAGGAAGGCGGTCGGCCCGGCCAGGGGTCTGCGAACCTGGCTCCAGACTCGCTTGCAAAGCTCTCTCGAGTCGACGCTGCGGACAGAATTACCTGTGTTGCTGCTGTTCCACGTCCTCAGAAAAGGCTTTTATCAGCCTCATAGGGACATAGGGGCAAATCCTACCATCCAACCCCAACCAACCTCTTAACGCTCTTACAACGAAATGCTCAAGAGCATGTGGGCCGATATGCCAGTTAAGACTGTTCAGCTTCGTCGGAAGATGGGCGCCGCCGAGGCGCCAAGCTACGCGAATCAAGAGGCCCATCGGCTTCGCCCGCACGCGGTTGATGCGAGAACGCACTCAATGGATGCGAGCTTCTCCCCACTGTGGGGTGAACGGGAGGACCAGAAAACAAGTCTTGACTTCGCCGCACTGGTTCGAAGGCTTGGTCGGGCTGCGCACGCCCGCAGTCAAATGATGAAGAAATGAGGGAGACGCCCCAGCTGCACGCAGCCGAGAAGCAAACCGGTCCACAAAGCCCTTCGCATCTCCAGGATGTTTACCTAGCCTCCTCAAGCGAGCAGCGAGCATCTATTGCAAAAGGCCATGCGGAGTGGACACTCGGGTGGTGCAAGCTGTCACTGCCTAAAGGGATCCACCGTGAGGACCTCCTCACCGATACGCAATGATTTAAGCATCCTCCTTGGAGCAGACGGGGCTTACTCAGCCGAGCATCAAGGAACACAGCTGGAACCTCAGACACAGACTCTACTTCCAAAGTGAACGGAGCAGCCCTGGAATTAAGGATACTTTTAAATCTCTCAAGGTCTTGCCGGGGCCCGTCTAAAGTATCATGTCACCTTTCAAGCGAACATATGCGGTCAGGTCGATCTCATTGCACAGGGCGCGGTCGGACAAGAAGTCTTTCTCTGCTAAGTGGAAGATTGTCGAATCTGACCTCCCCCGAGCAGGCTATGCTCATGCCAGATCCACACTTGACTTTCCATACTCGCGGCGAGTCGCCGAGAGTGACGGACTGATTGGAAAATATGACAACATAGCGTGCCAAAACCGAAGCTTTTGCGAGCCCGTTAAGAATTCGCATCACTCTCGCAATAATATGGTGTGATCGTCGCTCATAAAGTAGTATTTCAAGGCGAATGTTATCATTGTGACATACGTTGTGAATTTGTGTTTGCGCAGCTTCTCCAGAAACTCAGCTGAATCTTCCACCACATGATACAAATCCTTGAGACATGGCTTCAGCATTGAAAAAAGGAACAACATCATCGGAAGAAACGGCGACGGGCGCTGCATGCAATGATGATCGCGGAGTTTGCCTTGAACTTGCGCCTTGTTGGTCTTCGTCGTAGCCCCCACTGTATAATGACATTGTTCTGGTGCCTCGGCGCAGGCCGAAATCAGACTGCCGAAAGGATGTCTATCGGCCTCATCGCTCCAGAGAGTGGCGATTTCCCGAGATACGTCCGCATACTCGTGAATCACGTCCACAGGGTCGTGATCCTGAACCTCTTCGTAAAATCTTCAATCGGCCAGAATATCGAAAAATGCGTCCCGAAGCGGATGTTTACGAAGTACAGTGTATGCCCCGTCTTTGTTTCTCGGGAGCATCCCCCATATGCCTTGTCTGATCTTGTGAATGCCAACGCGCAGGGCAAGAGGCAGCGGCGGAAGAAGGCCGCACCGGCACCGAGCCAACACACATGCCTTCCACATTTCACTGCACATGTCATCAACCAAGGCCCGGGGAGCACCGTCCAATTCATCAGTATACGGGAAGATTCTGCGAGGCTTCGATCGTACATGTTTCCATTCGTTTGGATCAGGGGCGCCCTCAGAGTTGCAACATGTTTGCCGCCGTCTGTTAGGTCGCAGATCCAGCACAGCTGAAGATGCCGACTCCAAACTGGGAGACCTTTGAAACCCATAGGTGTGTTCGGGATGAGCGCGAAGCACGAGCTCGACGTCCCGTGGGACCTCCTCCGGGCTCTGGAGCCCGAGCCTCACGGGACGGACAAAAAGTCCAAGACGCAGCATCCCGGGAGGCCACGCCCCCGCGCCCGAGCACGCGCGCTGGCTGCCCGGCGCTCGCGCCATGGGCCGGGTGCAGAGCGAGCTGCACAAGGGGCTGTCGGGGGCGGCAAAGAGGGGGGTGGTGACTAGGGGGCGGGTGGATATCATGGCGTGGGCCATGATTTTTCCCCAGATTTCATGGCGCCTCTTCTTATTTCGTTACGTCCCTGCCCCCCCCGCTGGGCCGCGCACATGCCGCCGGCCATGATTTGCACCCCCCCCCTCTTGGACACCCCCCTCTTGGCCGCTCCCGAGGCTGGCGGTGCCGACACCTCTGGTGGCAGAGTACTCTTCGGATGGCACTCGTGCGCGTGGGCGCGACTTCTGTGGAGCGGAGGTTCCAGCCTTTGCCGCCTCCTCTGCTCCCTCGTCCCTGCCCTGCGGCCTGCTGTGGTTCGCGGAGCCACTGCCTTTCGGTGCCTTGTCCTTGCCTGTGCCCTCTGAGTCGCCAGTCCATTCCTTGCCTTTCGCCTTGCCTGTGTCTTTGCCTTTGCCCTTGCTGCCCTTACCATTGGCCGTGCTCTTCCCCCCGCGGCCACTGGGGGTTACGACGTTTTTTGGAAATTCCTCCATGACGTCATCGGCTGACAGACCCATGCCCATGCTCTCGGCGCTCTTGACGAACCTGTTGGCTGGGACATAGTGCAAAGTGTCATGGGAAGACGCCTTTCTCCCCGACGTCTGCCTTTCCTCGGCCTTCGTCTTCTCAATGCGGTCGTCGATGACCATCGTGAGGATGTCATCTGGGCTTTTGGAGCTCACAGCATCTGCCACCTGCTGCCTTTTGTGTTGCTTCCGTGTTCCCTGGTCCAAGCGCTTTTGCTTCTTCTCGGCAGCCCGGTCCACGATGCGCCGGTAGATCACCGAGAGGCGTGGAACAATGCGCTCCACCGAGACCTCAACGTCTGGATCCTCTTCCAGACCTAAAAGCTGAAACGGAGACTGACGAGACGTTTCGATGGCAGTGCATTTTTCGATAAAAGTGTCCCGTTTGACATGGTTCATGAAATCTCGTCTCTGGGCTTCCAGCATATTCAGATCCAAAGCCTTTTGCATTGTCAGGTACTGAATAATTATATAGTTCCCGCTTTGTAGCTCGGATGCTGCGACCCTCGAGGTCCACAAGGAGAGAAGTACCTTCTTCGCACTAATCTAAAACATGACTCGTAAGATACATTGAATGCCCGCACTCCAGTTGGAATCTCCCCTTCCTGGAGACGACGGCGCTGTTCACGAAATGCATCGACGCTTTCGGAAGCATTCTGCAACGATTCAATGTTTAACAAAAGGTTCATACTGGCACGTTTAATCAGGGTCTTTCTCTCGCTGGATGGCCCATCGAGCTCTTCCTCGATGAGCTCCATGACTTTTTGATTATCCTTGTGATCAGTGTCCCCTACCGTTGCTGCCGCCGGCTGCGCTTGCAACAAACAACTGATTCGGTTGTCCCCGACAAGGTGAGTGTCTGTTCCCGAACTCCCTCTGGCTCTGGTGGGGGCCGAGCACCAGGGTGAAGGGGACGCGCTCCTCGCCGATACTCCTGCTCTCTACCCTCGTTGAAAGCCATGCCGACACGACTCCAGTGTAAAAGTAACTATCAGAAGATTACCATTTCTGGTGCTGCGCTGCTGCGCGTGTCACGGCGCAGCCTGACAGAAAGGCGGTCGGCCGGGCCAGGGGTCTGCGAACTTGGCTCCGGACTCGCTTGCAAAGCTCTCTCGAGCCGACGATGCGGACAGAATTGCCTGTGTTGTTGCTGTTCCACGTCTTCAGAAAAGCCTTTTGGCAGCCTCATAGAGGCATAGGGGCATATGGGGTACAGGGGCATAGCGGCATAGGGACACGCGCAGCAACACAGCACCAGAAATTGGCATCGCCATCGTTATCGTCGTCATTGTCATCGTCATCAGACGTCGCGTGTCTGGGCACAGATCGGGCCGAGGGGGCCTCATGCGGCAGCCGATCTGGAGTTCAGGGTTGGGTCGGGGGCCGATCTGGCCGGCTAGTGCCGATCGCTCTCCGGCTCGGGGCGGTGGCTGGGACGGGGCTAGGGGACGGGGATACATTGTCCCAGAGCGTTCTGGAGCGCTCTGAGAAGGCCACGGCGCCCGATACATCCTCCAGAACTGCCGGATCTCAGAGATCCCCGATTTACGATCAGAAATGTTAGTTTAGCGTGTCGCTCCGCCAGTTCTGCGCGCTCACCGCGCCTCGGCGCGGCACGCCTTTCCGAGCCTCCTGGCCCGCGGAGCGGAGAGATACGCTATGCGCTCGCAAGGCATGACGTGTTGCCGGGGCCGCCGTGGCGACAAGCTATCTCAAAGTCCCCGACCGTATCCCAGTCCGATTCTGCCCTGTCCTGTGGCTTCGTCTTGTCGCGGGTAGCGCCCTCGAGCGGCAGGGATGCCCCGCAGATCCTGGGGCCGATCGGGCCAGCCGGGTCGGGGTCAGGACCAGGCCGCGGACCGGCGGTCTGTGGGGGGGGACGCCTCACAGGGGGACGATGATTATGGTGTGTGTGTGTGTGTGGACGGATGCCATGGCTGGGCCATGGGATGTCCCCTGATGTCATGGCCCCTCTTCTTCCGTCATTGCGTCCGGTGGTTGCCCCTCGTCCGCGCACGTGCCTCCGGCCATGATTTGCGACCCGCCCTCCGCCCTCTTGGACGCCTCTCACTTGGACTCCCCCGACTGGACTGGCGGGGGGAGTTTGCACAGGGAGGATCTGGCGCTGTGTTAGGGGGGATATACTCCGGTGGGGGGGGCATCGACCCCCAGTCGCCCACTGATCGCCAATAGGGGCCCGATAGCCCACGCCGCCCAGGAGCGTAAGGATTCGCTATCGAGGGCATATCGCCGATCTATCGGCCATGCATCGCCAATTCCAGGTCGGTGTTTCTTCCCCACTGAGCCGTCTCCCCTCAGATAAGAAGCTACGTCGACCACAGAAGTCGGCGTTTGCTGGACAGCCCGGGGCGCGTTATTTACCACATCAGCCAGAAGCGCTTACTCGAGGGGCTCGCTCCTAGGGATGCTGATTGTGAAGGTGTTTATTTTGCGTCTCCCTTTCCTCCTCCTCCTCCTCCTCCTCCTCCTCCCTTTCTCCTCCTCCTCCTCCTCCTCCTTCTCCTCCTCCTCCTCCTCCTCCTAGCCTCCCTCCTCATCTTCCCCCTCATCTTCTCCCTCCTCCTCCTCCTCCTCCTCCTCCTCCTCCTCCTCCTCCTCCTCCTCCCCAGGCGGAGCCGAAGGCAACAAGCCCCTCGAGTGTAGGGCTGCTGATTGTGCGGTCAGGAGCGTTTGCTCAGCGTGTCGCTCCGCCGGCTCTGGCCCTCCACGCTTCGGCGCGGCACGCGGATCACGTCCCCGTTTTCTCGCGTCGGCGTCCCGAGCCTTGCGCCGAGCCTCCGATCCGGAGCGGCACGCTATCGGCTTGCAGGGCACAGCCTTTCGCCAGGGCCGCCGCCGCGACACGCTGAGCGAAAGTCCCCGACTGCGGACAGATGGTACCCCAGGGCCTCTGGGCCAGGTGCGAGGTGCGAGGTGCGACCTTCGGCCCCGCAGCGCGAGGGGCCACCGCTCCGGTGAGGCCACGTCGGGCTTGCAGGCGCCCCGTCCCCGCAGAGCCCAGCGGGCGGGCGGGGGAGGCCCAGGGGAGAGGCAGGGTGATGTCGGCGACGAGCCCCTGGGGGGAAGGCAGAGGGGGCGGGCGCTCTCAGAAGGGTCAAGAGGGCTCCGACCTTCTGGAAGGATTTCTGAGCCTGTCCGAAGACAGAGACGGATTCCCAGAAGGCTGGAGGACAGCCGAGAAGCCCCGCCGCAGTGAGAAGGCCGGTTCACTTCCCCCCTGGCTGTGCCGCCGGTGATGGTCTCCCTGCGTCTAGTCTGCGTGCGATTTGTCCTCCCCAGCGCTCGCAAGCCGATGCGCCTGCGGCCAATTCACAGAACCCTTGGGCTCCCAGGAATCCAAGCTACACCCACAATGGCCACGGCGAGAAGTGTCGTTAAGCATAATGCAGCCCTTGACCGTAGTAACACTACACTCGTGGCCCAAGTCAGGTCCTCCGTTTTTGCGGTCATCCCCAACAAGTGGATGGCCTCGTCCGAAACATCTGCAACAAGGACCCCTCATCCCCAACGCCTCTGGTCCCCCCAAGTCCCCTCCCAGAGGACTGGAGGTAGTTCTACTGCCGAGCGGAAGGGGAGGAGACGTGGCCGCCCACCAGCCGCCTTGCCTCGAGCCGCCTCGGGCTCGGGCCCTCGGGGGCTGGCTGGGATCGGCCGCCCTGCAGGCCTCGCGATGGGCCCGAGGGCCGCGCGGGCCGCGGCGGCGCCGCTGCCGCGCGGCCACGGCGCGGCGCCCCGGGCCGCGCGGCTGCGGCCGGGGCCGCGCGGCCCGGGGCCGCGCGGCAGCGGCGCCGCGCCGCCGCGCCGCGCAGCGGTTGTGCCCATCGGGGGCCACGTGCGCGAGCCCCACCCCGGCCGCCCACGATTTCTGAGGCGGAGGGGGGGGGCTCACTTCGCTCGGGAGCTCCCGAGCGAAGTGAGCCCCCCCCTCTCCCCCTCGGACATCGTGGGCGGCAGGGGTAGGGTTCGCGCACGTGGCCCCCTGGCCCAGCGCCCCGGGGCGGCGTGCGCGGTGTTGCCCTGGCGGATGGGCGCCCTGGAGTGGGCTGGGCGCAGGCTCTCAGGGGAGGGGATAGGGTGCCGACACCACTGTATGCCCTTGCCTCGTTTTCCTGTTCTGGGGGGGGTGGTCTCCGAGGAGGCCCTCGTCGTTACCGATGGATTCGCCTCGAGAGTCTGTCAGATCGTACCTTCCAGAGAGGTCCGGGGAGTAACGGTATCGGTGCCACTTGACTTCCCCCAGGCTCCTGTCTGGGTTGCCGCCGACGTGGCAGGCGGCGTACCTGCACTTCGCGGTGGCGCTCGGGCTCGCCGTCGGGTCGCAGTGGATGATCAACGCCGTCAAGGTGTCCGTTTTCTTCGAGCAGTGCGGTGCCTCTCGCGAGCCGACCGCAAAGTCGTTGGTGCCCGTGGCCCTTTTCCCCCTCGTCTTCTTGTACAACGTCCTGGTCATGATGGGCCTGTTTTCCACATCTACCACCACCATAAGTTAGAGGGGTGAAGGATGAGGAGGACGCGGAGGAGGAGGAGGACGGAGAGGAGGAGGAGGAGGAGGTGGAGGAGGAGGAGGACGGAGTAGGAGGAGGGGGAGGAGGAGGACCTCCTCCCCCTCCCACGTATGGCAGTTGTGGTGGTGGAGAGCGTGCCCAGCAGGTCAGCACGGTACGTGACGTGAAGCGGCTGGTTCTTATCATTTGCGGCGTGTACTCTGTTGGGTACGCGGTCATCGCAGGCGGCTTCCTGCTCGAGGCAGAAGGCGTCGGGCCATCGCTGGCCTGGGCGCTCTTCCTCCTGACGGAGACCAAGGCCGCCCTGCTGCCCTCGATGCTGTGGTCCGTCATCCACGACGTGTCGCCTCCGGAGTTCGCCAAGAAGGCGTGCCCGGGAGGTCTTCGGTGGCGAGCCGGGGGGGGAAGTGAGAAGCAGCGGGTCTCTCTGGAAGGTGGCGGAGCTTCCGAGAAGCCCTCCCTCGCCGAGAATGCGGTGGCGTGATCCCGGCCGGCCAATCGAGAACGATCGTTCCTTGTTGTGGACGGGTACGGCCCCCATGGGGGGAAGCGGATCTTGGCAACCAGCTGAGCTACCGAGGAGTGCGTTTGCCGAGTTAAAAAAACGAGACGCCCTCTCTGCCTTTGGATCCGAGAAGGCTCAGAAAGCTTCTCAGAAGGCCGGAGACCTTCCGAGTCTTTGTGAGAAGGCACGCCGACGCCGCCTCCTGTTTCCCCTTGGATCGGCGCCGAAGACAGTGACAAGAGCATGGGTTCTCAGAGGTCCGCACGGATTTGTCGGATCTGCGCTGCACACTCTTCCTTGGCGCGCGGAGCGCGCCGGGGGCGGCGCCGGAGGCGCCGCCAGGGCGGCCCAGGCGCCGATCCGAGAAGTCCGCGTGGAGCTCAGGTCATTGCTTGCTCCCCGAGCCCAGGCCCCCGACGTGATGTTTTTTTTTTTTTTTTTCCAGAACGTCGGCCCTCAAAAGGTCTCGCCCCGTTCCCCGGGGTCGGTGTCTCACCCCGAGTCTTTTGTTCACGCTCCCGAGGCCCGGCAGGGGCCAGGAGAGTCTTAAAAAGGAAGAAACAACAACAACAACAACAACAACAACAACAACAACAACAACAACAATCATTTTACCCGAACGCTCAGTGTTCTCCCCAGTGCCAGGGTTTTCATGCGACGCCAGCCAATACCCCCACTTCGTGGGGGGGCAATGCAAGCTCTACCAAACATCCACACGACTCTAGGGAACCACCCACACCCAGCTTCCCGCCCTATGACGTCAGGACACTTCACTTCGTGGCGCGCGGACGATCGTGGATACTACACTGGCGTGGAGTACACACCCGCAGAGGTTGATCACTTGTTTGGGCCCCGCATGTGCCCCGCATCGTGCATTCGTTGCGCATGACATAGAGAGAGCAAGACAGAGAGAGAGAGAGAGCAAGACAGAGAGACAGAGACAGAGAAAGCTTAAGAGGACCCCGCTTGGGGTCCTCTTAAGCTTTGGGGGGCTTCTTGGAAGCATCTTGGGGCCTCTTGGGAGCTTATTGGGTCCTCACGGCGGGCTCTTGAGGCCTCTTGAAGGCCTCCTGGGGCAACGTATGGCGCAACCAGTAGGGAGCGTTTTATTCTCGGCGGCCGAGGGCGCAACCTATGGCGCAACCAATAGGAGGGCGTTTTATTCTCGGCGGCCGAGGGCGCAACCTATGGCGCAACCGCAAGGGATTCTGGCCCCTGGCAGGCGCGCGAACCCCGTTGCAAGAGCGTGCGAAAGTAGCTCGCGCGAGCTCATGTAACATAAATGTTGGAAAACCATTTTTTTGGTTTTTTGAGGATTCGGACAGCGCGCGCGGGTGGAAATTTTGAAAAGTCGTGCAGGTGTTTTTCGAGGACCTACGGTGCGATTCGTGTGATTTTATGATGCGCGGTGGTAAAATTCTTAAAAACCCAATGGTTTTTGGAGATTTCGGCGTGCGCGCGCGAAGAAAAAACGAATGTGTCCCGCATGGTATTATTTGACAGGGATGATGGCCCTGGCAGGTGCGCAACCGTTGTCGCAGAAGTTTGAAAAAGTTGCTCGCAAAAGCCCGTTTGACAAAATTGTTTAAAAAGTGATGGTTTTCCTACGAATCCGCAAGAGCGCGCGGGATGAGATTTTGACAATTTTTTATTTAAAAAACCATTGGGTTTTTGATGTTTTTATGTTGAAATCGTTCCGAAACCTAAGGTTTTGGAAGGATTTCGTCTTGCACGCGCGAATGTCCACTTTAGCTTATTTTTTGCAAGGGATTCTTGAAATTGGATTACATTTGAACAAGAAATTTCATTTTATAGTGTTTTTTGCAAGGGAAAACGGGGGGGAACAAAACAACCGGATCCGGTACTAATCCACTTTTCTGAAGCTTTCGCTAAAAAATGATGAAAATGTAGCTGCGGCCTAGGTTTTGGAGGGGGGTCGTGTACCAGGGGTCCCAACAATAATTATTCTTTAGAAGTAATAATGTTCAACAACAACAACGTCGCGATTTTCGCATCACCCGAGGGGGTCTGGGACAGGCGTACCCGGTGGTCTCGCTGGTGGCTCAGCCTGGGAGTCGCGTAATGGGGGGGCGATACTTGGGGGGGGGCAGCGAGGGCTGCAGGAGCGGGCCCCTCGGGGCCCACAAGACATATGGGAAGGGGGGGGGGGAGACAAAAACCCAAAAGACATGGGGAAATGTGGGGAATCCTGTGATCTGTGTCTATTCGCTGGTGTGTCCCAGGGCCCTGTCACTGTCGCCCCCCCATTTCGGCGACGCCCACTCAGCTCGGCGGCCTCGCGGGCTCCGCGTGCGCCACCGGCGCCGCCGGGCTCGGCGGCGCCCCGGGCCTGCTGCTGGGCCAGGCCGCGGCGCTGCTGGCGGCCGCCGCCCTGGCCTGGGGGGGCTGCACGCGCGCCGCCGCGGCCAGCGCCCTCCCGGCCGTCGCGGGGGAGCGCGTGCGGGAGCTCGGCACGGTCGAAGCGGGTTCGGGCGGGGCGGGGGCCGCGGGTCGGTCGGTGCCAGGGCGTCCCGGGGGCGCTCCCCCCAGGGCGTTCCAGGGCGCTCTGAGGATGCCGCGGCGCCCGAGGCGTCCTCCAGAGCCGCCAGATCTCAGAGATTCGTGAGCGATCCTCGCCTGGATGTGTCCTCGTCCTAACTTCGTCTTGTGGGTACGTTCGGCAGCGAATCATCGTTGCCCCTCAGTGCCGTCTTCACAGTGCATTAGCGTCGATGTGGCGTCAATCGGCGTCGATTCGCGTCGGCCAGTGCCGATTCGCAAGAGCCAGCAAGATGGTATGGAAGGCTTCCACGAGTTACAACCGAAGGGCACGAATACCGACAGCAGTTCCTGTCCATTCTGAAGAGGGTCCGCTGTCGGCGTGGCCGCGGACGTTGTCCGTTTGAGACAGAGAAGGCCGTCTGCCCAGCAGCGGCCGCTGTCAGTTCTGGACAACATCCGCTGTTGGGCCGCGTGTGCACAATGTTCATTTCCAAGTATTCGAAAGTTCTTTGATTGTTGTTGGGGGCCAAGATCCTTTCTTTCTAATTCTATTCGGGGCCTCTTCCTGGCCACTACGGGGCCAGGAACAATTTGAAACGAGCACAATTAGAAATGAGCGCGATTAGAAGTGAACGACGTGTACTTTTTGTTCGTACCCGTTTCGGGCGTCCAGAAAGGAGCCCTCGGCAGACACGCTGGAGCAGCCCGGCCAGCCCATGTTCAGGGCCCCCTTTCATCGAAGGATGGACCACGGCGCCTTCGCTGCCCTGCTACGCCCGTTTTGAAACGCAGCACGTGCCGTATTCAAAACGCCGTATTCACACGCCGCGCGCCGGCTCAGTTCATTGGCCCACGTTTGGACGAATGCATCGCGCCAAACGTGCGTTCTCAGTCCATGTGTGGAGCTCCGTGTCAACACGCTACGGGTTGCGTGTTGCGTGCTGGGGCAGTCATGAACGGCACAAGGCATAAGTCATAAGCTTCCATTTTGTGAGGTCCGCGCTGGATTTCTTGGATCGGTGCTGGCGTCCCTGGCGTGCGTCCGGCGCCGCCGCCCCTGCTCCGCGCGCCAGGGCGGGGGGCAGATCCAAGAAGTTCGCGCGGACTTGTGGAAGATTGTGTTTCTGTTTTGTTCGACCCAAGCCAGGACGCACTGCTGAGCAGAACTTCTCAAAAACTCTCACCCGGAGAGAGAGCGTGGGGTGGAGAATGCTCCGACCCAAGACTGCAGTTCTCTCGGGCGCGCCACCGCCCTGGTTCATCAAGCACCCCGTTTAGGAGGCCCTGAAAGTCGAAGAAGAAAGGATTGTAAACATAAACTGTCGGAGCTCCGCGCGGACTTCTTTGGCAGGCCAGAGGTTGGCACCAACACCAAATTCGGCGGTGTGCCTCCACCGAGGGGAGATGATCCCGATATCGGCGATGGTGGTAATATTCTGGCTTCCTAGGCGGCCGAAATATTGACACCAACACCGAAATCTATGATCACCCTCCCCCAGTGGGCGCACCCCCCTGTTTTGGTGTTGGTGCCAATTTCGAAGCCTCCAATTCTTGGGTCTGCGCTGGAACTTCCTGCGCCGCCTTCGGCGCTGCCCCTGGTGAACCAAGCCGCAGGGACTTGCGACAGTTTGTGTTCCTGCCGTTTTCTTCCTCTAGACATACGCCCCAGCCAGCCCGGTCCAGCCCAGCCGGCCGGCCCAGCCGCCGACAGTGGAGTTGCCCGCGCTGGGCTGGCGGAGCTCGCTCGGCTGCAGGTCTACAGGGCTGTCGAGGGGCTGCCGCTGATCTTCTCGAAGCCCTACGTCGCTATGGTGGTGTGGGTATCCTCGGCTCACCTGGTGCTCCGAGGAGGTAAAGGTACCGATGCAGCGACCCTTCCATTCCCTCGTCTTAGCCTCTTTGGGCCTCCTGAGAGGCACTCGTCACCACGGCTGGATTCTCCTCGAAGTTCTGGTCAGAAGGCACCCGGGGAAAGGGGAATAAGGCCGATCCCAACCACTTCGGGCCGATCCTAACCAGTTGGCGTGGGCTCCAACCACCAAAGAGGGGCCAAACTGGTGAAGGGGTCCTGCATTAATTCTACAAGACGAACATTGGATTACAATCGGATTACGACCTCTGCAGAGCCTCTGAAGCGCTTCACCAGCGCCTCCGAAGCGCATCACCAGCGCCTCTGAAGCGCTTCACAAGCGCCTCTGAAGCGCTTCACTTTCGCTCTCGATCGGCCTCTCGCCCAAGGCATGCCGGCAGCTTGGGGCCCCGAGAGCGCTTCATGGGCCTTGGGCAAGGCCACGCGACGCACCCCAAGGTGCGCCCAGGTGCGCTCAAGAGAGCCCAGACATTCTGGTTATGCAGAGGCTGGGGCCCGTCAAACAAATGAACAGTATTGCATACAGTCGGGGCCACGGTCGCCCCGGAGAGGCGCCCAGAGAAAGGGTGCGCGTGCCTGGGGGGCGAGGGGGGGGAAATCGGCGTATTCGTGGTAGTTGTGGTAGTCGTGGTGGTAGTCGTAGTAGTAGTAGTAGTAGTAGTAGTAGTAGTAGTAGTAGTAGTAGTAGTAGTAGTAGTAGTAGTAGTAGTAGTAGTAGTAGTAGTAGTAGTAGTAGTAGTAGTAGTAGTAGTAGTAGTAGTAGTAGTAGTAGTAGTAGTAGTAGTAGTAGTAGTAGTAGTAGTAGTAGTAGTAGTAGTAGTAGTAGTAGTAGTAGTAGTAGTAGTAGTAGTAGTAGTAGTAGTAGTAGTAGTAGTAGTAGTAGTAGTAGTAGTAGTAGTAGTAGTAGTAGTAGTAGTAGTGTAGTAGTAGTAGTAGTAGTGGTACTAGTAGTAGTTCGTCGTCGTAGTCGTCGTCGTAGTTAGTAGTCGTTAGTCGTAGTCGTAGCGTTAGTCGTAGTCGTATTGTAGTCGTAGAAGTAGTAGTATAGGATAGTAGTAGCAGTAGTAGTAGTAGTAGTTAGTGTAGCAGTAGTAGTAGTAGTAGTAGTAGTAGTAGTAGTAGTAGTAGTAGTAGTAGTAGTAGTAGTAGTGGTAGTAGTAGTAGTAGTAGCATCAGTAGTAGTAGTAGCAGTAGCAGTCGTAGTAGTAGTAGTAGTAGTAGTAGTAGTAGTAGTCATCGTAATAGTAGCAGTAGTCGTAGTAGCAGTAGTAGTACTACTACTACTACTACTCATACTAATACTAGTTGTTGTTATTGTTGTTGAAGCTTGTGTTCTGTAGTAGTAGTAGTAGTAATCGTAGTAGTCGTAGTAGTCGTAGTAGTAGTAGTAGTCGTAGTAGTAGTAGTAGTAGTAGTAGTAGTAGTAGTAGTAGTAGTAGTAGTAGTAGCGTAGTAGTAGTAGTAGTAGTAGTAGTAGTAGTAGTAGTAGTGGTAGTGATAGTGGTAGTGGTAGTGGTAGTGGTAGTGGTAGTGGTAGTGGTAGTCGTAGTCGTAGTCGTAGTAGTAGTAGTAGTAGTAGTAGTAGTAGTGTAGTAGAGTAGTAGCAGTTGTAGTAGTAGTAGTAGTAGTAGCGCGTAGTAGAGCAGTACTTGCGTAGTCGCGTCGTAGTAGTTTATAGTAAAGCGGTCGTTTAGTCTCCAGTGTAAGTCGTAGTAGTAGTAGTAGTAGTAGTAGTAGTAGTGTTAGTTTAGTAGTAGTATGTAGTTAGTAGTAGTAGTTTTTAGTAAGTAGTAGTAGTAGTAGTAGTAGTAGTAGTGGTAGTGGTACTAGTAGTAGTAGTAGTAGCAGTAGTAGTAGTAGTAGTAGTAGTAGTAGTAGTAGTAGTGGTGGCAGTAGTAGTAGCAGTAATAGTAGTAGTAATAGGAGCAAGTAGCAGTATGAGTCGTAGTAGTAGTCGTAGTAGTAGCAGTAGTAGTACTACTCGTGGTAGAGGTAGTCGTGGTAGTAATAACAGCAGTAGAACTAGCAGACGTAGTAGTAGTAGTAGTAGTAGTAGTTGTAGTAGTAGTAGTAGTAGCAGTAGCAGTAGTAGTAGTAGTAGTAGTAGCAGTAGTCGTAGTCGTAGTCGTAGTAATAGTAGTAGTAGTAGTAGTAGTAGTAGTAGTAGTAGTAGTAGTAGTAGTAGTAGTAGTAGTAGTGGTACTAGTAGTAGTGTAGTAGCAGTAGTAGTAGTAGTAGTAGTCGTTCGTCTCGCCCGGAGTCGGTATCGTAGTCGTAGTGTAGTTCGTAGTCGTTTAGTTTCGTAGTCGTAGTCGTAGTTCTAGTCGTAAGGACTTAGTAGTAGTAGTAGTAGTAGTAGTAGACAGTTTAAGTAGTTAGTAGTAGTAGTAGTAGCAGTAGTAGTCGTAGTAGTAGTAGTAGTTAGTAGTAGTTAGTAGTAGTGGTAGTTAGTAGTCGTAGTAGTAGTAGCACAGAGTAGTAGTAGTAAGCAGTAGCAGTCGTTAGTAGTAGTAGTAGTAGTAGTAGTAGTAGTATTCATCGCAATAGTAGCGTAGTCGTAGTAAGCCGTAGTAGTACTACTACTACTACCCTCATACTAATACTAAGTTGTGTTATTGGTGGGAAGCTTGTGTTCTGTCGGTAGGAGTAGTCGTAGTCGTAGTAGTCGTAGTAGTCGTAGTAGGTCGTAGTAGTCGTAGTAGTCGTAGTAGTCGTAGTAGTCGTAGTAGTAGTAGTAGTAGTAGTAGCAGTAGCAGTAGTAGTAAGTAGTAGTAGTAGTAGTAGTAGTAGTAGTAGTAGTAGTAGTAGTAGTAGTAGTAGGAGTAGTAGTAGTAGCAAGAGTCGTAAGAGAAGTCGTAGTAGTAGTCGTAGACGTAGTAGTAGTAGTAGTAGTAGTAGTAGTAGTAGTAGTAGTAGTAGTAATAGTAGTAGCAGTAGTCGTAGTAGTAGTAGTAGTAGTAGTAGCGGTAGTAGTAGTAGTACTCGTAGTCGCCGTCGTCGTAGTTATAGTAGCGGTCGTAGTCTCAGTCGTAGTCGTAGTAGTAGTAGTAGTTGTAGTTGTAGTAGTAGTAGTAGTAGTAGTAGTAGTAGTAGTAGTAGTGGTAGTGGTACTAGTAGTAGTAGTAGTAGCAGTAGTAGTAGTAGTAGTAGTAGTAGTAGTAGTAGTGGTGGTAGTAGTAGTAGCAGTAGTAGTAGTAGTAGTAATAGGAGCAAGTAGCAGTATGAGTCGTAGTAGTAGTCGTAGTAGTAGCAGTAGTAGTACTACTCGTGGTAGTGGTAGTCGTGGCAGCAGTAGAACTAGCAGACGTAGTAGTAGTAGTAGTAGTAGTAGTAGCAGGAGGAGTAGCAGTAGCAGTAGAACGAGTAGTAGTAGTAGTAGTAGTAGTAGTAGTAGTAGTAGTAATCGTCGTAGTCGTAGTCGTAGTAGTAGTCGCAGTAGTAGTAGTAGTCGTGGTAGTAGTGCTAGAAGCTGTAGTAGCAGTATTAGCGGCAGTAATGCTAGTAGTAGCCATAGTAAAAGTAGTGGTAGTCCCCGCAGTGGTGCGAGAAGTAGTAGTAGTAACAGCAGCAGTCGTAGTAGGCGAAGTCGTTGTAGTAGTAACATTGATTTCTGGTAGTAGTAGTGGTAATCGTAAAAGCAATAGTGGTAGAGACAGTAGAAGTAGCGAAAGTAACCATAGTAGTAGTAGTCGTCGTGGTATTAGTCGTGGTCGTAGTAGTAGTCTATAGTTATATAGTGGTGGTCGCAGTAGTAGTAGTAGTAGTAGTAGTAGTGGTAGTAGTAGTAGTAGTAGTAGTAGCAGTAGTCGTCGTAGTAGTAGTAGTGGTAGTAGTAGTAGCAGTTGTCGTATTAGTAGTAGTAGCATTAGTAGTAGTAGTTGTTGTTGTAGTGGTAATAGTAGTAGTCGTCGTCGTCGCTGTGGTGGTATTAGTAGTCGGGGTCGTAGTCGTAGGTTTAGGGTTAGTAGTTGTAGTCGTAGTAGTCGGCGTAGGAGTAGTCGTAGTAGTAGTAGTAGTAGTAGTAGTAGTAGTAGTAGTAGTAGTAGTAGTACTCGTAGTCGTAGTAGTCGTAATAATCGTAGCCGTCGTAATCGTAGTAATTTCGCTGGTAATATCAGCATTCGTAGTAGCATTAGTATTCCCAACCCTCCTGCGTTGGGTTCTCGTTTTGAATAGAGCACTGCTCGCGCGTCTCCTTCCCCCCCCCCTGGGGGGCTGCGATCTGTGAAACTGTCGCCACTTTCGAGGGCTGCTGGGGGGGCCCAGCACAGTGGGTACTCACCGCGGACTCAAATTAGACCTCGCCATCCCTGGGGGGCTGCGATCTGTGAAACTGTCGCCACTTTCGAGGCCTGCTGGGGGGCCCAGCGCAATGGGTATTCACCGCGGACTCAAACTAGACCTCGCCATCCCTGGGGGGCTGCGATCTGTGAAACTGCCGCCACTTTCGAGGCCTGCTGGGGGGCCCGGCACAGTGGGTAACCACCGCGGATTCAAATTAGATCTCGCCATCCCTGGGGGGCTGCGATCTGTGAAACTGCCGCCACTTTCGAGGCCTGCTGGGGGGCCCAGCACACTGGGCACTCACCGCGGACTCAAATTAGACTTCGCCATCCATGGGGGGCTGCGATCTGTGAAACTGTCGCCACTTTCGAGGCCTGCTGGGGGGCCCAGCACACTGGGTATTCACCGCGGATTCAAACTAGACCTCGCCATCCCTGGGGGGCTGCGGTCTGTGAAACTGTCGCCACTTTCGAGGCCTGCTGGGGGGCCCAGCACAGTGGGTACTCACCGCGGATTCAAATTTGACCTCGCCATCCCTGCGGGGCTGCGATCTGTAAAACTGTCGCCACTTTCGAAGCCTGCTGGGGGGCCCAGCGCAGTGGGTACTCACCGCGGACTCAAATTTCACTTCGCCATCCTTGGGGGGCGGCGATCTGTGAAACGGTCGCCACTTTCGAGGCCTGCTGGGGGGCCCAGCACAGTGGGCACTCACCGCGGAGTCAAATTTGACCTCGCCATCCTTGGGAGGCTGCGATTTGTGAAATGGTCGCCACTTTCGAGGCCTGCTGGGGGGCCCAGCGCAGTGGGTACTCACCGCACATTCAAATTAGACCTCGCCATCCCTGGGGGTCTGCGATCTGCGAAACTGTCGCCACTTTCGAGGCCTGCTGGGGGGGCCAGCACAGTGGGTATTCACCGCGGAGTCAAATTAGACCTCGCCATCCCTGGGGGGCTGCCATCTGTGAAACTGTCGCCACTTTCGAGGGCTGCTGAGGGGCCCAGCACAGTGGGCTTCCCGCACGTTTTTCTCATGCTTTTCGTTCCCGGCTCCCCATGTCCTCTTCAAACCTGTAGTTGTCGCCCCTCTTTCTTGTATGGTTCTCCTGCGCATCATGCCATCGGCGCGTGTCCCAAGTAGGTTACATATCAAACTACGGTTCCTGCAATTCGATTGTCCAAGCAAGTTTCGGCCAACTCCTCGTTCCCCATGATACAAATGGGTCGGGTACGTCACAGGGTAATGTTTATTACTACTACTACTACTACTACTACTACGACGACGACGACGACGACGACGACGACGACGACGACGACGACGACGACGACGACGACGACGACGACTACTTACTACTACTGCTATTACTACTACTGCTACTACTCTAATACTACTACTACTACTACTACTACACTGGTACTACTACTACACACTACACTACTACTACTACTATATACTACTACTCCTACTACTACTTACATACTAATACTACTACTACCACTTACTACTACTACACTACTCTATCAACTACTACTACTACTACTACTACTACTACTACTACTACCTACTACTACTCATACTACTACTACTTACTGGACTACTACACTCTTACTTACTATTACCTACGACTACTACCTACTACTACTACTACTACTACTCTACTACTACTACTACTACTAGTACGACTTACTAGTTCTACCTACTACAACTACTACTACTACTACTACTACTACTACTACTACTACTACTACTACTACTACTACTACGACTACGAGTACTACTTCTAATCTGGCGACTACTACTAATACTACTAGTACTACTACTACTACTACTACGACTACGACTACGACTACTACTACTACCACTACTACTACTACTACTACTACTACTGCTGCTGTTACTTATAGCACTACCACTACTACAACTGCTGCTGTTATGTTTTGAAATAGTGGTAGTAGGTGTGTTATTACAACGAATAGTACGAGTCGTAGTGGTGGTACTAATGGCAGTAGTATCAGTATGTGTAGTAATAGCAGTATAAGTGGTAGTAGTAGTAGTAGTAGTAGGAGTAGGAGTAGGAGTAGGAGTAGGAGTCAAGCTAGCCAGCTCGAGCGAGTCAAGCATGGCATGCCCAGTCCCACCCGCCCTCCCACAACATAAGAAGCAAAGCTGGCACAACTGGGGGCCGAAGTCACACCGGCCAGCCGGTTTGGTACAGCTGATGCGGCCGCGATGGCGGTTGCCGACGGGAACTGGCGAGCGCGTGTTGAATGCCGCGCACGCATTGCCAGACGAGTCGAGAATGGCCCGGTACACCGCAGGAAGCCAGAGGTGGCCGGAGGAAGCCCGACGGTCTGACAGGACACCCCAAAGCATTTTTGTGAAAAAGCATTGGGTTTTTGATGTTTTTATGTTGAAATGCTTGCAAACACACGGTGTTCGGTAGGATTCTGACATGAACGCGCGAGTGTGCTCTTTGTGGTATTTTTTGCACAGGATTCGCGGCCTGGGTGCATGACAGAGCATCGCGAGTGCACCGCGCGATGACGTGAAATCGCTGGATTTGACAGAATTCTTAAGATTCCTATGGTTTTCCTATGATTTCAGCAAGAGAGCCCGGGCTGGAAATTTGTACAGTTTTTGTGAAAAAAACATTTGGTTTTTGATGTTTTTAGGTTGAAATGCTTGCAAACACACGGTGGTCGGTAGGATTCTGACATGAACGCGCGCGTGCGTTTTTTGTTGTATTTTTTTCAATGGATTATCGCCGTGGGCGACAGGACGTCCATGTCGAGAGGAAAAATTTTTTAAAAAATGTTGATTTTGAATTGTTTTTTACAGGTTAGGATGGGACCACCCGGCTGCGGCCCCTATCTGCCGGCCTGAGGGGGAGTAGGAGTATATTCTAATAGTAGGAATAGTAGGATAGGAGTAGTAGTAGTAGTAGTAGTAGTAGTAGTAGTAGTAGTAGTAGTAGTAGTAGTAGTAGTAGTAGTAGTAGTAGTAGTAGTAGTAGTAGTAGTAGTAGTAGTAGTAGTAGTAGTAGTAGTAGTAGTAGTAGTAGTAGTAGTGGTACTAGTAGTGGTAGTAGTAGTAGTGGTAGTAGTGGTGGTGGTGGTAGCAGCGGTGGTAGTGGTACTGGTAGCGATCGTGGCCGTGGTTGTAGTATTGAGAGTGGTTGTGCTGCTGGTAGTAGTTTTGTTCATGGTGTTTGTAGCGATCGTAGTATCACTGCTGTTATTCGTAGTGGTCGTACTGGTCGTGGCAGTTTCAGTCGTAGTAGTGAATTGCAGTGTTAGTAGTGGCTGCAGTAGTAGCAGTACTAGTACCATTCGTAGTAGTTCGAATAGTGACACTTGTAGTAGTAGTAGTAGTAGTAGTAGTAGTCGTAGTAGTAGTCGTAGTAGTAGTCGTAGTAGTAGTCGTAGTAGTAGTCGTAGTAGTAGTCGTAGTAGTAGTAGTAGTAGTAGTAGTAGTAGTAGTAGTAGTAGTAGTCGTAGTAACAGTAGTAACAGTAGTAACAGTAGTAACAGTAGTGGCAGCAGTAGTAGAGCAGTGGTTAAAGTTGTAGCAGTACAGTAGTACAAGTAGTAACAGTAAAACTAGTATTATCATCATATCTGTTATTACTACGACTACTACTACTACGACTACTGCTAGTACTACGATTACTATTATCACTGTTCTTATCATTGCTACTACTACTTCTACTCGTGGTCTACGATCGGCCCGACCGTAACCGCTTTTTCATAATGTCAACGGTGGGCCTAAGGCAACTTACTGATTCTGGAAGCTCTCTTGGAGAGCCCCTCTTATCATAATATTTGGTAAGCGAACCCAAAACATCCCAATCACATCGGGCCGATCGCGACCGGTTGGAATCCGCCCCAAGTGGTTGCGATAGGCCCCCAGTGGTTGCGGTCGGCCCCGGTCGCGACGGAGAGGTCCGGGGAGCAGCGGTATCTGTATTTGTTGGTTTCCCCAGGTGCCGCGCATCATGATGGAGTACCAGAGCAGCGTGCTGATCGCGAAGGAGATTCCCGACAAGGACGCGCGGATCTCGGCGCTCGGCAGGGTCTCCCTCGCCTGCAATGTGTGCTCCGTCCTGATGGGGCTCGTCGGCACTCGATCCATCGTGGAGCGCCGAGGTGTTGGCTCGGCTTTGCTTCTGCTGCCGCTCGTGACCATGGTCTCGTACTTCACGATCAGCCTGCGCTATGAGTGCTGGGTCGTCCAGGCCGTGATGGTCATGATCAACACCGTGGAGCACAGCCTGAACGGTCCCTGCCGCGAGCTGCTGTACGTCAGAACTTCGCGCGACATCAAGTACAAGGTAAAGAGCTGGAGCGACATCTACGGGAACAACCTGCAGAAGACTCTGGGGGCGCAGCTCAACCTCCACGTCAACAGGGAGCTCCCGGAGTGCCAGCCCTCCTGCTTCAACAGGACCGCTTCTCTCTCTCTCTCTCTCTCCCTCTCAGATTGGCAGGGCCCCCGCGGACTGCGCACAGACAGCCCCTGGAGGTACAGCCGAGACGCTGGAAAGAGGACTACCGGGCTCGGGAGGATGGGCTCGGGCTCACGGGCCGCTCCTCAGACCTGGGCCGCGGAGCCCATTCGTGGCCCAGGATCGCTGTGCCCAGAAATGCACGGCAACACGATGGCCGGGCCGTAGTCCCGGCTGGCCCCAACAGGCCTGGCATCGCTCGGACGTGTGCATTTTTTCCCGGCGAGAACCATCGAGGACCATCCTGGACCATCGAGCAACAAAAAACACTCACGAAACCGACAAATGCACGGGAAATGGACGTCCGAGCGACGGGAAGCAGGCCCCCAGATGGTAGTCCAGGGCCCCGACGCCATGATCTTTCCATGGTGCCGACCCCCGGAGGTCTCGACCCGTTCCCTGGGGCCGGCTTCTCATCCCGAGTCGTTCTTGTTGACGGTCCCGAGGCCCGGTAAGGGCCCCGAGAGGCTGGAAGTAGGAGAAGTTGTCCGTCGTATTTTTGTTCGTGACTCGATGGGAGCCTGGGGAGGGGGCGTCGGGTGGAAAGGCCGCCCTGGACTTGTCGAGGCCAGCCAGGATCGCCTGCGGGGGGGGCTGTCTCCGAGTATTTTCTTTGGGTGGAGGGCAAAGGGTGAAATTTGAAATACCGTTTCGATGGATGTTCGAGGCATGAATATGCAAAGGGTGAGCCACAATACGGACTGATTTTCGAGGTGCAAAAGCCCATATGGATTTCGCTCTGAGCCCTCCACCCTGAGAAAATGGTCAGTGTCCGTGCGCAGCCTCAGGACCTTGCCGCCCCAGACGTGCTCGCGTCCTCGCAGGAATCGCCACGGGAGAGTCTCTGCAACTTTCGAACTCGGGCCCCTCGCTGGGTCACGGGACCCGCCAGCGAAAGCCTAGGACGAACCGCCGGCCCTGGGGAAAGAGGCGGGAGTTCCGTGGACCCCGCGCCGGAAGAGTCAAAAACATCGGCGGGGGACACGGGGCGGCCTTCCGTGACAGGTCCTGTCTCGGGCGCCTCCCGACCTGCAGGCTGTCAGGACGCTGAAGCAAGGACCGCTTTGGGCTCAGCAGGGGCGCTGGTTTCGAGTCCGAGTCCATGTCTGGGAACCCACGCGCGGCCGAGGCTCGCCGTCGCCAGAAAAGTAATCTCGTTCTCGCTGGCGCTCCTTCCTGCTTGCGCGATGCCACGTGGCATCCGCCGAGGCCGGCATCCCGACCTCGCTGCTGGGGCGCGCCCCGGCCAGAGCCTCGCTGCGCGACCCAGCCGTGGCGACGCGGGCCCGTCGCCCGGGAGGCCCCGCAGGCAGCACCCTGCCGGCGAGGGCCTCGGGGACCTCTCTCCCCGCGGTGCGGCGCCCCGCTATGATTAAGCCGGGCCCGTCCCTCTACAGGGGGAATATTCAAAATACTCAAGCAATAGTCTGGGGACTATTTTTTGAGCATTTTTTTTGCCATTTTGGGGTATGTTTTGAGTCTTGTTTGATTTTTGTCCAAAATCCCCCTGTAGGGGGACAGGCCCGGCTCAATGCTATGACTGATCGGGGGCCCTCGAGCGGTGTGGCGACCACAGTGATGGCCACACCGCGTGGCGGCGACGGCGACGGCGACGGCGACGACGGCGACGGCGACGGCGACGGCGACGACGACGGCGACGACGACGACGACGACGGCGACGGCGACGACGACGACGGCGACGGTGATGACGACGACGGCGACGGCGACGGCGATGGCGACGACGACGACGACGACGACGACGACGGCGACGGCGACGGCGATGGCGACGACGACGACGACGACGACGACGACGACGACGACGACGACGACGACGACGACGACGACGACTGCCAACAACTGTGGGCGCCCCCAGACGGTGTGGTGACCACACCGCGTGGCAGGTCAGTGGGGATTCGGGGTCACCGCACGGTGTTGGGACTCGGGTCGCCCTCCGACGACGTCTCGGGCGACCGGGGCCTCCAGGGTCCCAAAGCCGCGTGGTGACGGACAGCGCGGTCAGGTCGTTTTGGATTCCGAGGTCACCGCGCGGTCTGCCACTATCAAGGGCTTAGGATCCCCAGCTTAAGCTTGCGATATGGGATCGCGGTGAGGGTGAGCCCAGAGACGGCCCTGGATGGTCTCGGGCTACCCCGACCTGGGCGTCGCACTTCGCACCAGGCGTTTTCGCTCAGTTTCGAGCCTCGAGACAATCACAGATGAATCCGGCTCGAAGACTGCTGCGGAATGGTGGGGTCTAGGGTTCTGGCGTGATTTGCGCGATGTTGTATTTTGTTCGCACCATGTGAGTTCAGGGGATGCCCAGCTGCCCAACCCTCGCGAGCCCCAGAGGGCCCCAGGGGCTGGAGAGTGGCGCGAGAATTTAGGGGCACCGTGGCCGAGGATTGCCTCCTGGTGCCCTCCGATCGAGCCAGATGTGCACCCCATCTGCTGACTGCAGACGGGCACCCTGGATCCGGACGAGCCGCTTCGCGGCAACACCCTGGCTGTGGCCGTGGCCGGGGCGGCCAGGTGGAGGTGCGCCCTTCTGCTGACTGAGGGCAGGCACCCGAGGAGCGACTTGTGCCGAGGCGGAGGAGGAGGAGGAGGAGGAGGAGGAGGAGGAGGACGAGGAGGAGGAGGAGGAGGAGGTGCGCCCCTCTGTGACTGAGGGCAGGCACCCGAGGAGCGAAGCATGCCGCCTGCCTCGGACGCCGAGCTCGGAGACGACGCCCCGCGCCCACCGTCAGCCCGTGCCGCGCAGTGCACGCCGCCCGCCGCCGCCGCGGCCCCCATGCCGCCGTCGTGGCGGCCGCCGCAGGACCGCCACGCTCAGCATCGTGGGCGCCTGGGTTGCCCTCTGGGTGAGCGTGGTGCCACCGGCCCCTCGCGCCGGGTCGGCGGTTCAGAGGCGGGCCCCTGAGGGGTGGGGCACCCAGGGGCGAGAAAACTGCAGAGAGGGAAGCTTCGAGGCGTGACCCACCTCCTACTTTCGGCGCCGAAGCGCGCAGGGCCCCATCTCTGAGTCGCCGATCGGGTTCGCCCCCCGACCCTCCGTATCCCGTGCCTCCTCCCCTCTGATCTGGGCGATACGCGGTGATCGCGGCGGCCAGTTATTTCAACGCTTCTGGCCTCTGGAGGCCGTTCCACAGCCCTGGGGTCTGTTCGGGGGTTGGTAGAGGTCATGGCGTCAACATCGCAGAGCGGATTTCGTTCGGAAAACGATCGGATGGGCCCGGAGTGTCCTGGATAATTTCGTTCCTGATTTCGAGATAAATTTCGGGCGAGGGACGAAGACTTAAAAACAACACACGCGAAATTAACTTCGTTATTCATTCGCCGTTTCAGGGTCTTGCATTGACAGAAATCCATGCAAAAATCCGATGCAGCACGTCTGCAAGGTCGGTGCAGTGAGGTACAGGTCGGGGGTTGCTAAAGGTACCCTCGGCCCAAGGTGCCCCCAGCTTTCCGTGCAATGTGGGAGCCCTTTGGGCTCGTGAGGTGCGTGCTCTGGAGGCCGCGGGGGCCTCCCTGGAGATCCTGGGGGCACCTTGGGCCATGGGGAACATCTGGCAACGCCCGAGCTGCAACAAAAGTCGGCACGGAATGAGCACTCGGATCGGGTGGGGATGACCCTCCTCCTCCTCCTCCTCCTCCTCCTCCTCCTCCTCCTCCTCCTCCTCCTCCTCCTCCTCCTCCTCCTCCCCCTCCTCGTTCCTCGTCCTCCTGCTCCTCCTGGTTCTTGTCCTCCTCGTCCTCCCCTTGCTCCTCCTCCTCCTCCTCCTCCTCCTCCTCCTCCTCCTCCTCTGGGAGCCGTTGGCAGGAGGCGGAAGGGGTGGAGGAGGGGCCGTTTTGGGGGGCAAAGCCTTTCGGCGCACCAGGGCGGTCACCCAGCCTTTCTGCTGGGATCCGCCAGGGTGTACGCTGGACGATTTGTCACCGTGCGCCCGGCCAGCCGCTCTCGCGGCTCCAGGGGGGGGAGGGTCTCTCGATGTCTGGAGACGTTTCCAGAGGTCCCCTCGTGGGCGCCCCAGCACACGCCAAGGACGAGCTCAAGGACCTCGGTCCTTAATCGTCAAGGAGGGGATGAGCGAGGCGGTATGGGGGCGGGGAAAACAATGATCCTGGCGAAGGACCCAAACATCTGCAGTTTTGAGTACCGCAGCTGTGAGTCGGAGGTTGGGCGGTTAGATCGCAGTGGAGTGGAGAGCCCCCCACCGGGAAATCGGTTTCGGTTTCGTGGTCGTGTCGTGCGTGCGGGTGGGGTGAAGCTGCGTGGGCGCGCGAGAGGAAAAATTCCCGCCGTCGCTAGGGTGATTCGGATACAGAAGTCTGGCCCTCCCGTGGGCGCGCGGTGGCTGGGGGTGTCCCGCAGTGGTGTACCGCGTTGTCGCGTTGGTGTCCCGCGGTGTCCCGCCGTGGTGTCCCGATGGTGTCTCGTGGTGTCCCGTGGTGTCCCGTGGTGTCCCGCGGTGCCCCAGTGGTGTCCCGCTGTGTCCCGCGCTGTCCAGTGGTGTCCCGCGGTGTCCCGCCGTGGTGTCCCGCCGTGGTGTCCCGAATGTGTCATCAGCATCGTCATCATCACACCCAATCGCAGTTGCCAGCAATTGGTTCTTCCCCCCCAACCTCCTTATCACCCAAAGGGTGGTCATATAGGTATGGTCTTCTGTGGATTTCCCCATTAGGCCACGGAACGCGCGAGGGGTATGCGAACCGTGCCATTGGGGCCTTCGGCGGAGCTCCAAACGCGTGAGGAGTGTGCAGAAACGGGCGTGACGCCCATATGCGAACGCCCCCTCTGGGGCTTTCGGTTGAGCTCACTAAGGGGCCACGAAACGTGTGAGTGGTGCGCCGAAGCGGGCGTGACGCCCACATCCCGACGCTCCCTCTCGGGCCGCCGGTGGAGCTCCCTATGGGCCATGAAGCGTCCGAGGGGTGTGTCGAAACAGGTGTGACGCTTATATGCGAATGTTCCTTTTGGGGCCTTCGATGGAGCTCCCTGTAGGTCCACGAGAAACGTTTGAGGGGTGTCGCAAGACGGGCGTGACGCCCACATGCGAACGCTGCCTCTCGGGCCTTCGGTGGAGCACCCTATGGGGTCACGGCACGTGTGAGTGGTGTGCCGAAGTGGACATGCGGTGGGCGGGAGGGCCCATGCCAACGCGGCCTTCGGGGCTTTCGGTGATCCCTATGGGGCAACGAAACGTGTGAAGGGTGTGCCGAAATGGACACGCGGTGGGCGGGGACCCGCATGCGAACGTGGCATCTGGGGCCTTCGGTGGTCCCTATGGGGCCACGAGACGTGTGATAGGTGTGTCGAAGTGGACATGCGATGGACGGGGAGCCGCATTCGAACGCTGCCTCTGGTGTCTTCGGTGGAGCTCCCTATGGGGCCACGAAGCGTGTGAGGCGTGTACCAACATTTACACGCTGTTGGTGCGGTACCGCATGCGAACGCAGCCTCTGTGGCTTTCGATGGAGCTCCCTATGGGGCCACGAAACTCGGCGGCGAGCGAGGGGGGGGAATTCGAAGGAGAAGGCCTTCTCAGAAGGCGGCGGGGCTTCTCAGTCAGAAGGCCTCTGGCCTTCTGAGAAGTTTTCTGCTTTTCGTCGGGGAAGGCTCAGACAACTGCTCAGAAGGACGGGGGACGTTCGAGCCTTCTGAGAAGGCTCGCCCGTTCTCAATTCCCCCCCTCGCTCGCCGCCGAGAAGCGTGTGAGGGATGTGCCGAATTTCACATGCGGTGGACGGGGGGCCGCATACGAACGCGGCCTCTGGGGCCTTCGGTGGAGCTCCCTATGGGGCCACGAAACGTGTGAAGGGTGCTCTGAAATGGACATGCGGTGGGCGGGGGGCCGCATGCGAACGCGGCATCTGGGGCCTTCGGTGGTTTCTATGGGGCCACGGAGCGTGTGATGGGTGTGCTGACGTGGTTGACGTGCAGAGGGCAGAGAGAAGATAACATATGCAGGTGCACTGGCCTCTTGTTCTGCTTGAACTCGGCCGCACCTGGGACAACGTGTGCCTCCTCCTTGCCACCTGGCCCCATCCCAGGCTTCCCTGGGGGTGGGGGGTAGGCCGTGTTTACGTGTCGTGTTTGGACTTTGCCCCTCCCTTCCGCTTCTCTCCTTGTCCTTCCTCCGCTCCTGCCTCCTTCTACTCTCCTCCCTTTGCCCCTCCTCCCCTCCGCTCTTCCTCTTCTCTCCTCCCGTGGGGCTTACAGTCCTGACGTGACTGACCCCCCCCCCCGTGTGTGGTCGGTTCGGCGTGGCCTGGGCTTCATCGGCCTGTGCGGGAATGGAGGGGCGGCGGCGGGAGGGGATACGGCTAACCTGTGCCACCCCCAGGGGGCGCCCCCTCTCGAGCTATTGGTGGGGTGTTGGTGTTGGGTCTTTGGCGTCGGGCGTGGCTGGACCCATCTCCGGACTTTGTGCTGCGATCGTGGGCGGGAGTGTACAACCCTCCTCGTCCAACTTCCACTCAGGGGCGGTTGGGTCCTCGGACCTTTCCCCTGGGGGAGGACGGAGAGTCAGGACGGCGGCGCCCGCGCACCGTCGTTTGGGTGGGCACCACTCGGCGGTGGTTTCGGCCGTGGTCGGGTGGGGTGTACGTCCCCTGGGCGCCGGTCTCGCTCAGCGGTGGTTACGGCCATGGTCGGGCGAGTTGGGCACCCTAACATCACCCATCGACACCGGAAGGCGGTCATTAGTGCCAGGGTTTGCAAGTGATCGAGGGGAGATACGGCAAAGAAAGGGCAGGCACATTTTTTGGCTGCGCTGTCAAGTGTCTGTGTTTCCACACTGCACTTTGTCGTCAGCGGGTTCCCTGGACCATCCGGGGGCAGCTTCTTGGTGGGTTCTGCCCTCCACCTCTGCCGGGCTGCCGGGTTCTCCCGAGTGGCCGCCGCCCCCGTGGCCCCTCGCAGCCGGGGCCGTGCTTGCAGGTTCTGGGTCCGTTGTCTTTGGTTGTCTTCCTTTGCGTTCCTTGCCCCTCCTTGCGCTTCCACTGGGCCCGCAATGGCAGCGCCGCCTTCCGGCCCGCTGGTCGTTCGCGGTGGACGCGGCGGAAGGCGAGGCGAGGCGAGGCGAGGCGAGGCGAGGCGAGGCGAGGCGAGGCGAGGCGAGAGGGAAGATAATGCGAGGATGCAGGAGGGGGAGCAGGGAGAAGAGGTGAGTGACTCGGGGCGCTGGCTTCTCGAAACGAGGACCCAACACCACAGGATGGTGGGGCAGGGCGATGCGGTCAACGACGGGGCTGCACGAGGGGGACGTGGGCCGCCGTCGAAGAGCGCAGCAGAGAGAGGGAGCGCAAGATCGAGCCAAGGCGCGTGGGTCAGCGACGGCTCCCGCCTCCCGCTTCTGCTGCAGGTCGGTGCGCTCCCGCCACCCAATCGGGCGGCGCTGGCCTCGTGTTCCGGGAAGTGCGCATCCCCGATCCGTGGATCTGGCGCCCACGCGCCAGATCCACGGATCCGTGAGCCATGTCTTTCTGCAGCCGAGGGAGGAAGGGAACACGACGGGCGGGGCAGGTGAAAGGATAATTGTTTCCGTAGCGTTCCGGAATGTTTTCAGAGCGCTCGGGAGCGTTCTGGAATTGCCGCGCGGCGCCAGAGACTTCCTCCAGAATCGCCAGATCAGAAAGGTCTACGATTTTCGAAATGTGGCATTCGTCCCCGATACAAACCAAACCTCCAGATCGGATTTCGAGGTCGCCGCGGCGATCGTGGCGGTCACACATAGGGGCAAGGTGTTTGCCAAATGCTTGCATGTAGACGCGGCTCATAGCTATCCATATAGCGACAGAGACTTGACCATGTATGCTGTATGCTCAACATGTGTAATCATGCTTGTTACGTCAGGGGCGGTTATCACGCACAGAGATTTGTCCTGGTCTGATGTGGCCACTGTCCTGGCTTCGTCTCAGGAAGCAGCGGGAGAGGAAAGCGTGTCCGGGTTCCTCCTGACCTTCCGAGGTGCGCCCGCTTGGGAGGAGGCACGCAGAGCTGGAGCGCCAGGACGGCAAGGTCAGCTGAGAGGCACGCCTAGCTCTGGAGCGCCAGGGCGGCAACAAAAAGTGAGAGCACGATGCTTCGGCCTCAGGACGTTCGACGCATGTGCACAAACTTACGGTCAGGAACTTTGGCTTCGCGTGTCGCTCCGCCGGCTCTGGCTCACCACGCTTTGGCGCGACACGCTATCCACTTCCCAGTCCCGAGCATCATTGTCCCGAGCCTTTTCTAGCCTCCCGCCCCACACAGCGAAGCGGCACGCCAGCCGCTTGCAAGGCGTCGTGTATCGCCAGGGCCCCGCCGCGACACGCTAAGCAAAGGTTCCCGACCGCAGCGAGGAGCATATGCTTTGCACAAGCGTAGTTTCTCGGAGGTCCGCGCGGATTTTTGAATGGGCGCTGGGCCCCCCTGGCGGCCCAGCGCCGACACAAGAAATCAGCGCAGACCTGTGAGAAAGTGTGCGTATGTCGTTCTGGGGTCCTCTGCCTGCTCATGCGGTTGTCGATCTCGCTGTCTACCTCTCGGGGCGCCCATCGGGACAAACATCCGCACAATCATCGGCACGACCATCGGGACAACCATCGGGGCAGCCAACGGGAGAACCGTCTGGACAGCCATCGGGGCAACCATCTGGACAGCAGTCGGGACAGCTGGCTGGACGACCAGAGGGACAACCAGGGGCAACCGGGAGCCGCCGGCCGCACACTGGGCGAGATTCGTGTTGGCTTGGCCAAGCTCCAACTGGGGCAGGAACTCGCGCAGCTTCGCCTCGCCCGCACGCGCGCAGGGCAGGAACGGACCGAAACGATGTCCTTTTTGGGGCACCGAACGTTTCACTTCGGCCTCGCCTCCCAACTTCCGACCACTTCATCCCTCGGGGGCCTGAGACGGGTCAAAAGTTTTCAGGATTTGGGGTCCTCGTCCTTCGTTCCTTGCGCCCGGCTGATCGCCTGCTCCACCATTTGGGGCTGCGCGAGAAGCGCTTCCAGCCAGGACGCGAAGCGTTCACCGCCATCACGTAATTATTCTTCTGTTCCTTTCCCCTCCTGCTCCTCTCAAGGTTAGGGGTACGAAGAATGCAGTGCTCGACGTTTGAAGCTCCCTTTTAATCTTCGGAGATCTCCAGGGGCCTTTTCCTCCTCCTTTTCCTCCTCCTCCTCCTCCTCCCCTCCTCCTCCTCTTCCTCTTCTTTGTTATTCAGAGTCAGCGTGCTACGCTGCTACGCTTCCACCAGATGATGCAGCTCGAGATGAAGCAGAAGGCGACCTTCTTCGAAACATTCGCGCTTTGGGCAAAGCAAAATACCGCGGAGTTTCTCCTGACTGGGGTCTTCCTTCTGAGGTATGGTAGATGTATATGTTTCGTCCTTGTGGCACACATGGTAGACATGGCGTTTGCTTGGGAGCCCCTACCGAAGAGCTCCCATGTTTATACGATCGCCTAGTTGAGTTTAATCCGGAAGTTTGGGCTAATAGAACAGTTCCTCAGTAGTGCCATCGATGTACATGTTTCGGAATGTCGAAGGACCCAGAAGACACGCGATGGGGTCATGGATTTGGATCGTGCAGTAATGTGTTTGGCCACAGTTTTTTTCATAATCAACCATCAGACATTGCTTACCCTCATGCGTACCGAGTTTTTGAATGGCGCTGTGAGGGTGCCATTGCAGCTTCTGTATTTTTTGGGGCGCATCGGTCGATCAATCCGCTTGCCTCGATAAGCACAATACGTTCGCCGGCCTTTGTATAGACCGCCCATCGATTGCATATCTCTCAACCGTGCAGCCATCATCGCTCACAGACCGTTCTTTGCAGCATTGGATCTGCAGCGGGGGGTTCGTCGAGGCGGCCATTTGGGCGCCGGCCCTCTTGACAAGCAGCGTGGCGCTTCAGTTGATGATTGGCACGCAGATGTTGCGGGGCCTCCATTGCTGATCCCCTCGGTCTATCGCGCCAACATCCTTGAATGCTCGATTTTCAGAGTCGCGGATGACCTGAGGCGCCAACTTTGCGGAAGCGGGCTCGCGCATAAGACTTCTCGATGCATTGGGCCCCTGCCAAAACAATACCTGGAGATCGGTCGCGCTCAGAACGTGAGGAAGTCAGAGGCCACCGCTTGCGCCATTGACAAATATTGTGGGACCATAGAGAGGCGCGCTTATGCTGACCAACGGATGCCATGCCGAGTTTTACGAGAGACGCGCGATGTGGGACCCATGGTTCATTGCCGAATGTACACTGGCGTGGAGTTTCAGCGTCGATTTCAAACTTATCAGAATAACTGGCGCATGTTCCGCATGTTCTGGGTTAGCAGAGTCTGTCGATGATTTAAGCTTGTACGTTTTCCGCATGATGTGCAGGTGTGCAGGCCTTGCTTAATGTCTGGAGAGTTCGGGCTTCCCATGAGGAGGGGTCGACTACTTGGCCCCAGCAGAAGTTTCCGCGGGGGCGCGAATCGTGAAATATATGTACGTGCGCCCATTAGCGAGATGAGTCGTCGCGCGCGCGTGCTCGGCGCGCGCGCGATCCCAAAACGCGCCCTCGGCCGCAAAATGGTTCCAGGAAGGCCTGAGGCCCCAGACGAAAAAGCCCACCCGAACACGATCCCGCCACCGTTTCTGGACCGTCTCAGGACGACTCGATGGCGATCGAGCCTATGAGCCACGAGCGACGCCGAGATGGCCCGATTGTAATGGGCCCGCGCGCGCTCAGGCCGGCCCCCGAATGAACGCGCCACAGCCGCGCGATCTATGCACGACCAGAATATGATCTCAAGATGACCTCAAGACGACCCTGACATGGCAAGACTGCTGCAACGTCGGGGCCCCGCCGCACTTCCAGCCGACCCCGGCGTGGCGTGGCGGGATGTTTGTTTACCGCGTGTGTAGTGGTGAGGATTTTATGGTTGTCCGGCTGAACTAAGATAATAAGATTGAAAAAAGGAGGGGAATTCGGCGGGGCCCCGCCCGGCCCGCGGCAGAAGACCACATTGCTTGGCTTCAGCGGGGGGTGGAGGGCTTCGGACGCGGCGGCACTTTCGTCCGCTGTCTTCCACAAGCCTTCCGACGGCCTTCCGCCGTCTTCCGCCTCGTTTTATGTCCGTCGGCTTCCGCTAGCGGGCGTGGCTATGAAAACCCCGGGAAGTCCAATTTGGCCGATGCGTCGATCTTTATCATCCGCGCGACAGGGATGGCACTTAACTTCCGCAGCGGGACAAGTAGGTTTCATGGCCAACGGTCAACGCGCGTCAGATGCCGAAAATGAACCTGGAGCCAAAATGGCGACGGACACGCCAGGGCTCGGACAGGCTGCGTCGACTCTGAACTTCCGCGCGACAGGGACGGCATCTTAGTTCGGCAGGGGGGCGGGCGCATCCCGCGGCCGACGGCCAACGCGCGTCAGGGGCCCAAAATAAACCCAGAGCCAGAACGGCCACGCGCACGCGAGTGCTCGGACAGTCTCCTTGGGAACGCGAATCAAGAAATCGATGTGCGCGCGCCCGTCGGCGAGATGAGTCGTCGCGCGCGGGTGCTCAGCGCTCGCGCGCGCGACCCCGAAACTCCCCCGCGGCCGCGACGTTGTTCCAGAAGGGCCTGAGGCCACAGACGATAACGTCCAGACAACTTTGGAATAACGCCTCCCCAACGCGATCCCGCCATGGATTCTGGACCGTCTCAGGCCGACTCGATGATGGCCAAGCACATGGGCCGCGCGCGGCGCTTAGATGGCCCTGCGGCAACAAGATGGATCCACGCGCGCCCAGGGCGGCCCCCGAATGAACGCGCGACGGCCGCGCGATCCAAGCATGGCCAGGACACGACCGCAATCTGACCGCAAGACGACCCTGACATGGCAGGAATTCTGCAGCTTCGGGGCCCCGTCTCACTTCGAGCCGATCCCAGCGTGGCGGGATCTGTGAACGACCCGGGATATTTGTTTACCCGGTTGCTAATCGGCGTGGGCCTAGCCTGGCTGAGTTCAAATAGCCATGCTAAAAGGGGAGTGCGTTAGGCAGGGCCCCGCCCGGCCCGCGGCAGAAGACCACATTGCTCGGCTTCAGCGGGGGTAGGGGGCTTCGGACGTGGCGGCATGTACTTCCGCTTTCTCCCGCAAGCCTTCCGACGGCCTTCCGCCGTCTTCCGCCTCGTTCTATTTCCGTCGGCTTCCGCCAGCTGGCGTCGCGATGCAGAACCAAGGGCCTTGATCTGGGCCCATGTAGTCCAAGCTCGAAACACCCCAATCGTCGCACTGCCGCCAGCTGGCGAAGGGCGCCGCGACCGAGACCACCTCCCTCTCCGACGCCACGGCGAAGGAGAACCACTGGAGGGCCTCGCGTCCTCTCGCGCTCTGCAGCTGCTCCGGCCGGCGCCCGTCTCGCTGGCAGGACTCCGTGACCTCGGCAGGGGCCGGGCGCTGTCACGGGGGCCCCGGGAGAAACGGGCGGCGCCCGGCCGCTTCCGTGGCCCTTTCAGCTGCCCGTTCCGCAGGTTCCCCTGGAGCACACTACGGTAGGTCTGCGTCGTGTCGACCAGCGGCGACCCCAGCGCGGACGTTCAAGGTTGAACGCCGCCGGCGACCCAGAATCGATCGATGTTGAACGATCGGACGTTGCGGCAACGGCCGATCGTTCAAGGTTGAACGATCCCTGCGGTGTCAAAAACCAACGTCGGGGTCGACACGACACGAACCTGCCGTAGGCGCGGCTCGCTCACGCTTTTCGTGAAGAGGATGATTGAGGATTTGGACCCCCTGGCTGAATTTGAGGAGGGTGCCCTCTTCGTGGAAAGGTACGCGGGCGCCTGTTCTGAGGCTCTTGTCGGATGCGGGTTTGCTGCCCCGCTGCCTGGAAATCGATGTCTGAGAGTTATGGGGCAAGTTCCTTACGGCGCGGACGTTGCCCCTCCAGGATTCTCTCGGGCGCCCGCGTGGGCGAGCTCATCGTTGGTTTGAGATTCTAGCAGACGGTCAGGAGCGCGGAGGGGGGAGGGCGGGGGCGCGAGGCCCCGCGAGTGCGCCAATCCCGAGCTAGGCGTCTGAGCGGAGGTGTGCGTGTTGAGTTCTTTCCTTGTGTTCAGAGCAGCGTGCGTCTGCGGTGCTCCTGGGTGTTCAGTGGCCGCGACTGCGCGGCATCTCGCGCGCGACGCGCATTTGCCCATCATGGACGTCTAGCTGGTCATGCCATCGCGCCGCGACATGCGCCAGATGAATCAGACGTCGCGTGCGCCATGTGGCCAGACCGTAATGTCACCGCGGTTCAATCATATCGTTTTTCGTACACATGCCCAGGACCTCGATCTATCCGCTTGTCGGGGGCTCGCTCAGATCTCGAGGTGCCGCCTTCGCTGGCTGCCAGATTTGCGCCCAGGGGACACGCCGCTCGAGCTAGCTTTGCCCCCCCCCCCCCCCCGCCCAGCGTCGGCGGCGGGGCGAGCCTCTCGGCAAGGCTTTGAAGGAGGCCGACAAGGACAATCATAAAGCGTCGAAGGACATGCTGATTTTGGCTGCGAAGCTCGGTCTGGCACCAGAGTACCAGGCGCGGTTGGCTCGCGCGCCATCGGACTTGGAGGTGCGCGTCTGCGCGTCTGCCCGCCGTCTCACGCCCGATGCAACCCGGCCTGGGCGCGGGGCGCTCGCGTGTTCAGCAGGCGTCAGGAGTGACGAAAGAGGATCGAGAGGCGCAGCTGGGAATTCCACGCGCGTCGGTCTTTTTGGCGCCCACGCATTCGGCGGAGGCGCAGGCGGCGCAGTTCAGCTTCCAGGTGAAACTGGTCTTCGACAGGCATTCGGAGCATCACAAGCATATTCGCGACCAGAACGGGACCCAGGCCTTGCACCAGGCCTTGCAACGAGACATGCTTTATTGTCGCGCGAAGGAGACGTGCGCGTGAGACTGCGCCAAGCTGGCGTAGACGGTGTGAATGCACGCGAAGGCGGTGCTGATGAATGAGAGTGGAGTGATGAAGTACGGCATGGCGCCGTCGTAGGACATCGCTCGTCGGACGCAGCAGTCTTGGAGGAGCTCGGGGAGCGTCGTGCCCACGACGAGAGCTATCTGTGAGAAGTGCGCAGCAGCAGATGATGATGAATGGATCAGTTTGTAAATTGGCCGCAGGTTCTCAACCATCGGTTCGGCATCTATTGGATGCAGCTGAGCGTGTACTTCAAAGAGCGGGATCTGAAGCCGCCGCTCGTTTTGCCATTGCCCCTTTTTTTTGTTCCGCTTCCTCCTCCTCCTCTCCTCCCCCTCCTCCTCCTCCACCACCTCCTCCTCCTCCGTTTCTTCCTCCTCGCCAAGTAGTGTATATCGATCCACATGCTGGGGCGCGTAGCGCTCAGAGTAAACACGAGGTAGTTCGTCATTCTTTCTGATCGTTCCCGTCGGCGGCGTCTCGGTAAGAAGTGGCCTTTCGCGCCAGCCAAACGCACCGGCTTTTTGAGGCCAGCGCGACGCGTCCCGATGAGATTCTTTCTGTGTGTGAAGCATCCCGCGTGTCTGCCCGAGCAGGTGGGGAAGCGAGTCGCTGTCCCTGCCCTGCTCTGGCCTCGTTGATGCCGCAGGCCAGGTAAAAGGGGTTCGGGGTGTTGGGTCGGGTGGTTCGTTTGGCCGTGTAGATATGTCTTCGCCTGGGCCGAACTCTGGCAGATTTGGAGCACGTTTTCGTCCGTTCGGTACACTCGCGCACGCTCTAGGTTACATTAGAATTCATTCATTCGTTCGTTCGTTCTTTCATTCACTCACTCATTCACTCACTCACTCACTCCTCCTCCTCCTCCTCTTCCTCGTTCTCCTCCTCCTCCTCCTCCTTCTCCTCCTCCGCCTCATCCTCCCACTCCTCATCCTCCTCACTCACTCACTCCCTCCTCCTTCTCCTCCTCCTCCTCCTCCTTCTCCTCCTCCGCCTCATCCTCCCACTCCTCATCCTCCTTTTCGTTCCCCTGTGTTGTTATAGAAGAAACAGTAATCCTCCTCCGCCCTCCCCTAGAGGATGGGTGTTTTCGAACGTTTTTGGGTTTGTGTGGGCTCGCACAGTCTTCCGGGTAATTCAGGGTCAGCAGGAGGCCTCCGCGGAGACCTCCAGAGTTTTGTCGGGGTCCCCCAAACGATGTGGTGACCACACCGCGCGGTGAGTCAGTGGGGATTTGGCGTCACCGCACGGTTGTGGGACTCGGGTCGTTCTCCGGGGACGTCTTGGGCGACCCGGGCCTCTGGGGTCCCAAAGCCGTGCGGTGATGGACAGCGCGGTGAGGTCGCTAGGGATTCCAAGGTCACCACGCGGTCCGTTTCCACGGTTTTGGGCTCCCCAATTATCTTCTTCCGTCCTTGCCGAGCTGACCCAGAAGTGTGAAGTCTCCAGCATCGCATCGGATTGAACGCGTGCAGTTCTCAACATGTAGTTTTTGCGTCAGCGCCGCCCAAAGTCGCGTCAAAGCCTGATAGCTACGCCGATCGATTGCCAGCTATTTTCTAAATGCGGATCTCAGCCCAGCGCCTCGTATATTAGTCATCAATCATCACAGTTTCCAACAGTTCTGAAAGGCGGTTCCTTCTCAAACTGGGGCTCTCATGGACCTTTCCTCGAATTGCATGATCCGGCCTCCCAGTAATTTTCTTCAGAGCTAGAGAAGGATGGATCATTGCTCCTGTTCGGAACAGGGCATGGCATGCGTATGGACGCGTTCGTCTTTCGAGGGGCCGCTTCTCGCTAGGAAAGTGGGATGCCCGCAGGGACTCGCGAGGAGGGTGTCCTGGGGACGGCATGGTGTTGCCGCAGCACCTCTGAAGCATCCTGCTTACAGTCGGGCTGGGGCACAAGGTCCAGGACGATTCGGGGTGGCTGCTCTTGTGCATCCAGGGGAGGGTGCCCTCAGATGTTATGTGCGTTTTTACTGGCGGAGGGTCTCACGTTCTTGGTTGGGCGTTGCGTAATGGGGAATGACAAATGGGGGGGTTTCGAGGGTGGTCCGAAAAGGTACCCAAGTGGTACCTAAACGAGCCCCCTTGGGCTCCGGAGGGGCCCGGAAGGGGCACGAAATGGGACCGTTTCTGACCCCCCCCCCATGCACCACTTTCCCATGAATTAAGCCACGCCCCGCTTGGAGGATGTTCTTCTGTCCTGGGTCCGCTTGCACTCGGGCCCTCCCTCTCCCCCCTCCCTCCCTGGCTCTCTTCGCTCTCCCGCTGCTCGCCCCCTCGCCTGCTGCTCGCTGCGACGCCGCCCCCGTCCGCGCGCGCAAGAGGTGGCACCAGCGGGGCCGCCAACCTGGCGCCTCCGGCGCCACGACCGAGCAAGGGCAAGGCGCCGCGCGCCCGCCGTGGCCCCAGACCCCGCTCGTCGTCGCCGTCGTCGTCGTCGTGATCGTGATTGTAGTGGCCTCCGGCCAGTGCCGCCGATCCGGGGCGCTCCGCAAGATGATGATCAGGATGATGCTGCAGGGGAGAGGGCAGGGGAGGGGGTCTGCTCTGCAGGGGGAGTCCGCTCGGCAGAGGGAGGGACTGCAGGGGAGAGGGGTGGTCCGCTCTGAAGGAGGGGGGGGCTGCAGGAGAGGAAGTCTGCTCTGCAGGGGGGGGGGGGGCAGGGGAGGGGGGGGCGTCCGCTCTGCAGGGGGGGGGCTGCACGGAACGGGGTCCGCTCTGCAGCGGGGGGGGGCAGGGAGGGGGGTCCGCTCTGCAGGGGAGGGGGCTCTGGGAGGAGGGGGCTGCAGGAGGGCGGGTCTGCTCTGCAGAGGGGGGGGGAGCAGGGGAGGAGAGGGGGATCCGCTCTGCAGGGGGGGGGGGGCTGCAGGGAGGAGGTCCGCTCTGCAGGGGGGGGGGTGCTCTGCAGGGGGGGGGGGGGAGGGGGGGGTCGCTCTGCAGTGGGGCGGGGGGGCTACAGGGGCGAGGTCCGCTCTGCAGGGGGGCGGGGGGGGGGGGGGGGGGGTCTGCAGGGGGGGTGTGCACGGAGCGGGGTCCGCTCTGCAGCGGGGGGGGGCCCGGCTGCAGGGAGGGGGGGGGGCGGTCCGCTCTGCAGGGGAGGGGGGTCCGCTCTGGGAGGAGGGGGAGCTGCAGGAGGGCGGGTCTGCTCTGCAGAGGGGGGGGGAGCAGGGGAGGAGAGGGGGATCCGCTCTGCAGGGGGGGGGGGGGCTGCAGGGAGGAGGTCCGCTCTGCAGGGGGGGGGGTGCTCTGCAGGGGTCCATCTGCAGTGGGGCGGGGGGGCTACAGGGGCGAGGTCCGCTCTGCAGGGGGGGGGGGGGGGGGGGGGGCTGGGCTGCAGGAAGCGGGAGGGGGCGTTCTGCAGGCGATGGGGGGTTCCACTCTGGGAGGGGGGGGGGGGGGCGAAGCACTGAATTAGGTCGGTCATGAGGTCCCCCCCCCCTCCGAAGCACTGAATTAGGTCGGAAATGAGGTCCCCCCCCCGAAGCACTGAATTAGGTCGGAAATGAGGTCCCCCCCCCCCCGCAGAGCGAAGCTTGAGCGAGCTCAAGCCCACGCTCTCAGAAACTCACACGCCGAATCGGCGGATTTTGATCGTGATCGTCGTCGAACGTGTTATCGTCGTCGTCGTCGTCGTCGTCGTCGTCGTCGTCGTCGTCGAACTCGTCGTCGTCGACGTCGACGTCGACGTGGACGTGGACGTCGTCCTGTTCCTCCTCTTGGACTCTGTGTTCTGCTCCTACATCTCATCTTGAAGCCGGCTGGAGGGGTGAGGTGGCCCAGCACTGGTTCCGGCGGGCAGAAAGGGGGGAGGAAGGGGCGCCCTCGTCGCCACGGCTGGACGCGGCTCGAGCAACTTGTCAATTTCGACCTTGGGAGGCCAGGGACCGATCTTGACCGGACGTGCCCTCGTCCCGCCCTCTTGACCGATGGTCTCGGCGCCCGTCCAGCGCAGACCCCCCCGACCGCTTCCAAAGCTCATCCTGACCCCCTCGTCTCCTGGCATGCTGCCAGAAGCCAGGTTCCGCTCCTCCTCCACCTCCGCCGCCTCCTCCTCCTCCTCCTCGCTCTTGCGGGAGAGGGCGTCCTCGCAGAAGGCGCGTTCAGGGTGGCGCTGGCTCTCGCGGCCGAAAGCTGACCCTCGGTCTCGGCTGCAGGCGGCCGAGGAGCGTTCGGCGGCCAGGCAGCGAGCAGGCCGCCATCCACCCGCGGGCGAGCCGCAGGCCCAGTCTGCCAAGACTAGGGGAACGAGCAATGACATGAAGATGATAGCTCGGAGGTCCGCGCGGATTTCTTGCATCGGCGCTGGACCCCCCTGGCGGCGCCTCCGGCGCCGCCCCTGGCGCGCTCCGCGCGCCAGGGAAGGGGGTCCAACGCCGATCCGAGAAATCCGCGTGAACCTCCGAGCTTTTATATCCAGGTCATTGTTCGTTCCACTACAGACGGTCTTGCTCAGGTGTACCAAGTCGAACAGGAGAGCATTGTTGCACGCCAGTCGTTCAAAGGAGGTATTTGTGGACCCCCAGCTCCCAATCTGCTTCAGCTGCCTTCCTGCTTGCAGAGTCGATCGGTTTTTCCTTTCCCCCTCCTCTTCAGGAGGCAGGCGGAAGCCCAATCTATTTCCAGCGCCTTTTACTTTACAGTGGGGGCTCGGCCACAAGAAACCTCCGCAAGAAGCCCAACCCTGAATCCCGCGATTTGTTTGGTGAAAATCCAAATTTGTCGATCGAAACTCGTCAAGATCTTATTGGGGGCCCATCGGAATCCAAGAAACCCAGAGCACCCTCGCAAAATGCCACTAGTTTCTTGGCACGCGCCCCCACTGTACGATTCTGCCTCTTTCTTCCGACCGACGTGTACGATCACCAGTCCCATCCTCGGGGGTCCCTGGGGGTCTCCTCGGGCACCCAGAGAGGGGAGGTTGGCTCCGATCTCAGAGATCCCCGATGTGTCCCAGTCCGATTGGTCCATGTTCTGGCTTCGTCAACGCAGCAGAGACTGAGGAGAGCTGTGTTTATTCCCTGGCGATGACGGGCGTGGTCAAGGGGGTGGGGGAGGCGGCGAGGGGGGCAGTCACGCCGCGGTTCGCGCTGGCGCCGTCTGGGAATGCCCAAGAACGGCCAATTCCCAGGAGGCGCTGGCGTGACCAGAAGGGGGGGAAGGGAGAGAGGGACAGGACCGGTCACAAACGTGCTCGAGGTTGTTCGCAGTGCGGTCCCAGCTCTCGGTGCTGTACGGCAACAGAACGAATTGCGCCGGTGGCTCTCTGTGCGCTCTGGGGTCCACCCTGACCCTCGCCCTGTTTGCCGAGCCGCGCCCAGCCGTGGCGACAGCCCTCCCCCCCGAAGCGAAGCGGAGGACGACGACGACGCCGCCGCCCTCGCCCTGGCCCGCGTTCTCCTCGCCGTCGTCGTCGCCCTCGACCTCGTCCTCGCCCTCGTCGTCGCCGTCGCCTTAGCTCTCGCCGTCCTCGCCCTCGTCGGCGTGCCCAGCACTGCGGGCGGGGGGGGGGCGTGCCCCCCGCGCGCGCGGGCCGCCGCCCTTGGTGCGCCCTCGACCTCGCCGTCGCCCTCGTTGCCGTCGCCCTTGCCGTTGTCCTCGACCTCGTGGGCGCGCGCCCGGCAGGGCGGTCCCCCTGGGGCCTCGCCCTCGTCGCCGTCGCCCTCGTCGGCGTCGCCCTCGCCATCCTGGTCTCGCTTGCGTCCTCGTCGTCGTTCTCGTCGTCATCATCGTCATCGCCGTCGCCTCATCGCCGTCGTCTCGTCGTCATCATCGTCGTCTCCTCGTCGTCGTCGTCGTCGTCGTCGTCCTCGTCGTCGCCCTCGCCCTCCTCGGCGTCGCCCTCGCCGTAAGTCGGGCCTCTCCCTGTACAGGAGGAATACTTAGAAATAGTAAGAAAATAGTCGGAGGACCACTTTTGGACTATTTTTGGGTATGTTATGTTTGGAGCATTTTGGGGGTATTTTTAATTTTTCGTCTAAAATCCCCTTGTAGGGGGACAGGCCCGACCTAACCCTCGCCCTCGTCGTCCTTGCGGGTGGAGGGTGGCGGCGCCTCCGCGCCAGGGCAAGGGCGAGGACACGGAGCCGCGCCAACAGGAGGCGCTGCGCTGCGCTGCAGCCGCCGATGGGGGGGGAGAGGAAGGGGGCAAGGGGGAGGCCTGGGGTTGGAGGAGGGGGGAGAGGACGGCGGAGGAGTCAACAGAAGGGGGATGTGGGGGGGGCAGGAAGAAAGGGGAGGGGGGGAGGGGGAGGCCAGGGGTCAAGGAGGGGGGAGGGTCCACATTTGTGGCGCCTCCGGCGCCGCCACTGGCGCGAGGAGTTCGCCAGGGAGAGGGGCCTAGCGCCGATCCAAGACATCGGCGCGGACATCTGCGAGATTGTTCTCATGCAGTTGTTGGCTCCTCTGCTGGAGCGGAGGGGTGGGAGTGGGCGAGGGGGGGCGCTGTACCCCCCTGCCCATCTATTCCCACCGCGCTGAGCTGTCTCCATCCGCCGACGGGCGTCACAGCGGAGGTGGAGCCCCCGAGAGAACCACTCAGAGAAGGTGCCGTGCACATGGGAAGAGGAGGGGGTACCGGATGAGCAAGATCATGAGCATCAGGAAGAGGACCGCTGTAACCCAAGACCCACCAACAATATTGCAATACACCCTCCCTTCAGCTTCCATACATGGGCTCATCTTCGCTGACGGAAGTAGCCGGCTGGAAGACAACCGTTTGAGAATACGGAACTGTGCCAGAAGATAATTCCTGGGATTTTTTTCCGCTGCGAATCACGATTTCTGTTGCGTCTTGACGATCCTGAATCGTGTCAGAACACCATGTCTTGGATTCCAACACTGTGAATCAACATGACTGCTGCGCCCCGCATTCCTACATCGTACCAAAACACCGTTTCCGTGACCTGAATAATGAGAAACCTCGAAGATGCTGCAAACTCTGAAAACGAATGTGTTCGGTGCCAAGGCGGGAGCAACATTTTTAAAGGTATCGCCGTCCATTCGTGAAACTCTTTGCGTATTCTCAAGACGAACGTGCGGGGCGCTAAAGCGAGAACCACACTTTGAAAACGACCCGCCCTCCATCCGTGAAGCTCTTGCAAACGTTCAGGACGAATCTACGCGACGCTGGGGCGAGAGCCACATTTTGAAAACGGCACGCCCTCCATGAGGTTCTCGCACATGTTGAAGACGAATGTGCGCGGCGCGTAGGCGAGAGCCACATTTTGAAAACGGCCCGCCCTCCATCCGTGAAGCTCTTGCAAACTTTAAAGACGAGTGTGCGCTGCGCGACAACGAAAGCCACATTTTGAAAGCGGCCCGCCCTCCATCCGTGAAGCTGTTGCAAATTCTTATGTTCAGGATCATAAATGGTGAACAAGTCTCGAGCCAATCGCCCGGCCCGCCCTTTTGACCGGCCTTGGAGTGCGACAGGGAGGAGTTCTCTAGATGGAAGAGGAATTATTGACGAGGAAGGAGGATGAGCAGGAGCATTAGCAGCAGCAGCAGCAGCAGCAGCAGCAGCAGCAGCAGCAGCAGCAGCAGAGCGGGAGGTGCAGGAGGAGCAGGAGTAGCAGGGAAAGGGTCTGACAAGGGGAACGGAGCGGGGCGCACGGGGAGGGGGGAGGGGAGTGAGCCAGGGGGGGGACGCGGGTAGAGGAGGGGGGGAGGGGTGCGCTGATGCGGCGGAGGAGCCAGCCAGGAAGAAGGCGGAGGGGGGCGGGTGCGATCCATACCCCCTCGCACCGCAAAATGATTGCGGCAGGAGGTGTTTGTTGGTGCTCTTCGCCCCCCCGGTGGTGGCCATTGCCCGGCCCCGATGCCGTCCAACTATTGCTCGGGTAACAACCGGCTCCTGGAAGGGGTCGACATTTCTGGGGGTCCACATTGTGAATCAATCACGACGGGAGAGTTTTGGGGGGGCGGGGAAGAGGCGAGGGGGGCGGCGGCGGAGGAGCGGCAGGAAGGAGGTGGAGGGGGGGGGGGGCGGAGGAGGGAGGAGAGAGGAGCAGAGAATGACGAGGAGACGAGGAGGATGAGGGGGGAAATGAGGAGGAGGAGGCGGAAGAGGAGGAGGAGGGGGGCGAGGATGGTGCGAGCGGCGGGCGGGAGGGAGAAGGCGTAGGAGGAAGGGGAAGAGGCGGAGGAGAATGGGGGGCGAGGAGACTAATGAGGAGTGGGGAGGAGCATGTGGACGACGAGGATGAGGACTTCCTCCAGAGATGCGTACTGAGAAACATGGATTCCAGAATAGTTACAGGTTGGTCTTCGGCACCGTTGGCTCTTGTTCCTGAGGAGCGCCAACAAGCTGCATCCTCTTCTCCTCCGTCATCCCGCCTCCCCCATCCCCACTCGCCCTATCCTCCTGCCTTCTCCCCCTTCCCTCCTTCCTCGCTCCATCTAGCTGCCCCTCCTCCCAGCCACCTCTTCACTCGTTCCTTGCTCCTCGCCTTTTCTGGTCCCCCCCCCCTCTGCTGCTCCCCGCCAGCTTTGGCCTGCCACGATTCGGCGCGACGTGCTATCCACTTCCCAGTCCCGAAGCGTCAACGTCTCCAGATTTTCCCGGCCTCCCGCCCCTCGGAGCGGAGCGACCTTTGTTCGCTTCATGGCATCGCGTGTCTCCCGGGCCGCCACGGCGACCCGCTATGCAAAAGCTTCCGCCCGTGAGTGTAACCCCCATTCGGTTTTGCCTGGCAGCGCGGCCACTCGACTGCTGGGCGCCGTTCAGCGGCGAGCCCCCTGCTCCTCCTCTTCCTCCCCAGTCGGTCACGCTGGATGCCGCCTGCGCATCGGCCGTTCCAGTCTTGCCGCGCCGCTCCACAGGAGGAGGAGGAGGAGGAGGAGGAGAAGGAGGAGGAGGAGGCAGAGGAGGCGGAGGCGGAGGCGGGGGAGGAGGAGGAGGAGGAGGAGGAGGAGAAGCCAGGCCGCTCTGAGGGCGGTCCCCCCTAGTCGTGTTTTGCTGGTTGGCCTCGTTGGCGCGCCGGGTGCGCGCCCTCCGGGCCTGCGGCCAGGAATTCTGGCTCTTGAGCAGCGTGGCGCGCTGCCGATCCTGGCCCATCACGCTGTGCCGCGGTGCGGCATCCTTAAGTCGGGCGTGTCCCCCCTACAGGAGGAATATTCCAGGTTGGTCAAAAGATAGTCTGGGGCGATTGTTCGAGCAGTTCTTTTTGTATTTTGGGGGTATTTGTTTGTTTTGCTACTTTAATTTTTTCGTCCAACATGCGCTTGTAGGAGGACATGCCCGACCTAACGGTATCCACTTCCCCAATTCCGCGAGTCAACGTCCCGAGCCTGCCTGTGCGCGAAGCGGAGTGACACGCTATCCGCTCGCAGGGCATGGCGTGTCGCGCGGGCCACCGCCGCGACACGCTGGGCACAAATTCTGGACCGTAGCGTGGGAACCGCATGCACCAGCCTTGGGTCCAGGACTGGCCCAGCCATGATCGGTGTCGGCGTATGGTTGATGCTCTCCTGCCGGACGCTGGACCGGCGGCTGAGACCGGGGTAAGATATCGGTCCTTGGGGTTCTTGGGGTGAATCCGGGCGTGGCGACGAGAACAAAGCCTCCCAGAGCCTATAAGGGAAACCCTCAGAAGCCTCGATCCTCGAAGCTCGAATCCGTGCAACCGCGGAGGCCTCCTCCCTCCCTGCGCCCGCGCCTGCGAAAGCGGGAGACTCGCGGGCCTGGTTGCAGTCTAAATTTGGCGGCCTTTGGAGACGGAGCACGTCCGGAAGCACCCCAGTCGACCCTCCACGATCCTCGATTCATCCTCCACGATCCTCCAACCTATCCTTGATCGATCGATCGATCGATCGTGCCTCGATCCTCGATCGATCCTCCACGGCGCGCGGCGCGGGAGCGCCCCTGCCCGCCGGCCTGCTGGCGGGCCACGCGCCCCGCAGGCCTACACGGGCGCCATGGCCTCGGCGGCCAGCGCCGCCGGCGCGGCGTCGGAGGCCGACGGCCTTGGCGGCGGGTCCCACAAGGCGCGCGCGGCTCGGCGGCCAGCGCTGTATCATGCTGCCCCTGCTGCTGCGACGACGCCGAGGAGGAGGGCCCAAACCCCTTCGGGTCCTGACACCACAGATCATGACGGGACGCTTTGCGCTATCTTCGACCACCTCTGGGGGCTCGTGCTGGGCCTCGGGTCCAAATATGGTTCAGGATGAGAAGCCGGTCCCGGGGAACGGGTCGGGACCAGCCACGGAAGAGGAGCAGGAGTAGGAGCAGCAGGAGGAGGAGAAGGAGGAGCAGGAGGAGGAGGAGCAGGAGGACGACGACGACGACGATGGCGGCGGCGGCCTCCAACGGGTGGCGCCCTCCACCGCGTGATGCGTCAGTGCGGAGTCCGGTCACCGCACGGGTTTGGGACCGGGGTCTTTCTCCGTGGACCTCTCGGGCCATTGGGGCCTTCAGGGTCCCAAAAACGTGCGGCGACGGGCCGCGCGGTGAGGTCGTTTGGGATTCCGAGGTCACCACGCGGTCCGTCACCACACTGTTTTGGACTCCCGACTCCAAGCCTGAATTCTGCGACCAAGTGCGAGCCCTAGCCCTGCAGGTTCAATCGAAGCTGGGGTGGCTGGATACCCCCGCTTGGGTTCACTTCACCTGGCTGTAGGCATCCTGCGAATTCAGGACCCCAGCTGGCGTTTCAAAAATCCGACCTGCACGCGTAGGGCTCACATGTGGCAACCTATGGACGCCAATGGCTGTAGGGCATGGGTTAACTTCGGCTCTCGAGGCCAGGCTTGGAATCTATGCCCCACTCTGGCCCATCGCGTCATGAGCAGGGGCATGGGCCTCGCGGCACGACCAGAGGCACGGACAACATGCCGATCGCGCAGAAGCCTCGAGGCTTTGGTGGGGGTCATACTGGGCGGCTTGGGGCGTTTGGGAGGTTAATTGTGTGTGTGTGTGTGTGTGTGTGTGTGTGTGTGTGTGTGTGTGTGTGTCTGTGTGTGTGTGTCTGTGTGTGTCTGTGTGTGTGTGTCTGTGTGTGTGTCTGTGTGTGTGTCTGTGTGTCTGTGTCTGTGTGTCTGCGTCTGTGTGTCTGCGTCTGTGTGTCTGTGTGTGTGCGCGCGCACGTTTTGTTGGGTTCTGGCCCGGTTTGGGGGAGTTTGGGCTATAGTCTTTGACATTTGGGATATTCTATGGCGTTGGGGGACCTTTCGGGCGATCTGGTGCACTTTGATAACTACCTTGGGCGGCTCGTCGCGGATTGAGATTCGATTATGTTTGGTTCGTTTGTTGCTTGCTTTGAACGTCTTGGGGTGCCCTTGTCGCCACGACTGGGTCCGCGGGTCCGCTTCGAAATTCTGGCCAGAACGCAGCACGCACCCCTAGACTGGCCCGGGAGCCTCCAATGGCCCAGCGGGTGCGAGGCGTGGCCCGCTTGTGGCTCGACAGAGAATGCCAGGCCAGCGACTCGTAATTCCTCACGCTTGGCGTATCCCCACCAGTAGGACCCCCCCTGGCAGGCTGCGCAGGCGTTTCACAACTAGACGGCGGTGCCTCCCCACGCTTGCGGATCACTTCGCTTCAGGGATCGGCATCGCAGTTGCGCCTTGGCACAGCCGCATTGCTCCACCTGGCACCTGGAGGTGGATTACTGAGGTGTCGGCGCCGTGTGGTTCAGCCTGCCACGCCTTTAGTTCTTGGTTTTCCTTTGAATGCAGAGCATTTTGTTCAGAGCATGTGCAAGTGCACGCTTGTTGTGCAAGTGTTGTGCAGTTAGCCTGTACCGCCGTCCCAGACACGCTTGTTGCCGCCAGACCGTAGTCGCGCGGCCGCCGACCAAAAAGTATCCCCACCAGTCGCCGCTGGCGCGTTCGCCCGCGGCCGCTGACTAAAAAGTATCCCCACCAGTCTGCTGACTCCGTCGGCGCCTTCGCCCGCGGCCGCGGCGAAAACCAATATCCCCACCAGCCCTTCAGTTCGGCATCCTCTTCATCGTGGTTTATGCGCCGCTGTGAGGTGCCCTCCGCTCCATTCTGGCCGCGCTGAGCTCCGTCTCTTTCACTGCCCAGCGTCGCTCGCATCTTTGCTTTTCCCTCACATCCAAAGTGGGGTATTTGTTTTCTTTGGAAACCTTGCGCAGGAACTCCACCTCGCCTCCCACCCCGTCCCCTTGCATTCACCATCGTCATCATCACCAGTCATCGTCACTACTCAGCATCATCCTCATCACGGTCACCATCACTATCATCACCACAATCATTCACACTCACACCATGAAAATCATCATCATCAATCACATCCTCATCATGCGACCAATCATCGTCATTATCATCCCCACCCTTACCAACATCATCATCATCATTCGGCCACTCATCATCATCACTACTCATCACCATCAGCACCATCCTCATCACCACTCTCTCACTCATCACTTCGCCGCCACTCATTCCCTAGCTTGAATATGGGGGGCGTCTCGAGCGGGAGCCTCGTGTGTGAGTGAATTGCGGGGACGTTTCAGGCGGGAACCCTTTTCTTATGGGGCCCGCATTGTACAATTTTAATCCGAGCGGGTCATCGGAACGTTGTAAGTGTCGTCACTTTCGGGTTCCTGAGACCCGAGTATAGGGGAAATATCAGGCGGGAACCCCGTTTGTGAGTGAATTGCGAAGAAGCCTCAGGCGGGAACCCATCTCCCTATGGGGCCCGCATTCCATATTTTTAATCCGATCGGGCCATCGGAACCCTGTAGCTGTCGTCACTTTCGGGGTGCTGAGGCCTGACTGTCTCAGGTGGGAACTCTTTCCTTATGGGGCCCGCGTTTAATGTTTCTAATCCGAGCGGGTCATCTGAACCTTGTAACTGTCGTCACTTTTGGGGTGCTGAGGCCTGAATATGGAGGAAGTATCAGGCGAGAGCCTCGTCTGTGAGTGAAATGCGAGGAAGTCTCAGGCGGGAGCCTCCTCCGTATGGAGCCCGGACCTTATGGTACTAATCCGAGCGGGTCGCCCCAACCGTGGAACCCTCGTCACTTTTGGGTTCTTGAGGGGGCGAATATGAAGGAAGTATCAAGCAGGAGTCTCGTCTGTGAGTGAATTGCGGGGAAGTCTCAGAGTGGAAGTCCCTCCCTATGGGGCTCGCGCTGTATGTTCGAATCCGAGGCGGGTCATCGGCAACCTGTAATCGTCACTTTTGGGCTCTTCAGGCTTGAGTATTGAGGACGTCTCAGTCGGGATCCTCGTCTGTGAGTGAATTTCGAAGAAGTAGCAGGCGGGAATCCCCTCCCTATGGAGCTCGAACCTCATGTTGGTAATCCGAGGCGGGTCATCGGCAACCTGTAATTGTTATCACTTTTGGGCTCCTCATGCTTGAGTACGGAGGAAATCTCAGGCGGGAGCTTCGTCTGTGAGTGAATTGCGAGGAAGTCTCAGGCGGGAGCCCCCTCCCTATGAGGCCCGCGCATCATATTGGTAACCCTAGCGGGTCATCGGCAACTTGTACTTTCGACATTTTTGGGCTCCTCAAGCTTGAGTGCGGAGGAAATCTCAGGCGGGAACTTCGTCTCTGAGTGAATTGCGGAGAAGTCTCAGGCGGGAGCCCCCTCCTTATGAGGTCCACATTTCATGTTGGTGATCCGAGCGGGTCATCGGCAACCTGAAGCTGTCGTCACTTCCGGGCCAAAACTTAAGCCTCCAGCGGGTTGCGCGGCGACTCTCCGCTATGACGGGTCCCGCACTTCATGTTGGTAATTCGAGCGGGTCATCGGATTCCTGTAATTTTCGTCACCTTTTGGGCTCCTCAGCTCCTGCGGCCTGAATGCGGGGGGAGGGTTCCTCAGCTCCTGCGGCCAGAAATCGAAGGAAGTATCAGGCGGGAGCTTCGTCTGTGAGCGAAGTGCTGGCAGCCTCTTCTGAGCTGGTCGTCGGCGAATTTGTTGTTGTCATGGGCCTGCGTGCCCGAAAGGGCGACTGAGGAGCTGACGACGACGACGACGATGACGACGACGAAGAGACAGCGGCCAGGCGCAGGGGTAGCCCCTTGTGTCCGGGCCGGGGGTGGTAACCCATCCTCGGCCGAACCGGGGGCAGGGGTAACCCCTTGTCTCCGGGCCGCCTGTTGTAACCCATCGGCGGCCGAATCGGGCGCATGGATAGCCCCTTGCGTCCGGGCTGGGGGTGGTTGGTAACCCATCCTCGGCCGAATCGGGGGCAGGGGTGACCCCTTGTCTCCGGGCTGGCGGTGGTAACCCATCGTCGGCCGAATCGGGGGCAGGGGTAACCCCTTGTCTCCGGGCTGGCGGTGGTGACCCATCGTCGGCCGAATCGAGTGCAGGGGGAAACCCTTTGCGTCCGGGCCGGGGGTGGTAACCCATCGTCGGCCGAATCGGGGGCAGGGGGAAACCCTTGTCACTGGGCTGGCTGTGGTAGCTCATCATCAGCCGAATCGGGTGCAGGGGGAAGCCCGTGCGTCCGGGCCGACGGTGGTGACCCATCGTCCGCCGAATCGGGCGCAAAGGGAAACCCTTGCGTCTGGGGCTCGGGTGGTGACCCATCCGCGCCCGAAACCAGCCCCTCCACAAAACATGCCTTGCGTTCTCGTGGGTAAGGGGCCGCACACGCGCGCACACAAACACACACACACACACACACACACACACACACACACACACACACACACACACACACACACACGCACGCGCGGAGGAGTACGGTGGAGTGGGACGAATGGGACGGCTGCGGAGGAGTGTGAAGGAGGAGGAGGAGGAGGAGGAGGAGGAGGAGGAGGACAGCTAAAACGGAGGAGGAAGAGGAGAGAGAGCAGAGCTCATGGCGAGAGGAGGATGTCCGCCAGGGCGACGGGGGAAGGGCCAAGGGTAAGCTAAACATATTCTCATGCGGGGTCTCACCGTCGGAGTAATTCCCTTCCCAGGTGACACAGCCTGTCCCTGCATGCCTGGCGTTCGACTCGTTTCGCGCGCCCGCGTACCAAAACAAAGTATCCCCACCAGGCCGTGCCCCCAGTGGAACTGCCCTGAACGTGGAGCGTGCCATCTTTTCGAGATATCGGGGGCCTGTGTGGGCCATAGGCCCCTTGGATGCTTCCTTGGGTCTCTTGAGGGCAGCTTAGGGAAATCTTGGGGCGCACTGGGATCTCTTGCCGGCTCTGTGGGGGCCTCTGAGAGCGTCTTGGGTGCCTCTGGGGAGCCTCTCGGAGCCTCTTGAGGGCCTCTTGGGGCTCTCTTCAGGGCTTTCTGGGTCGCCTTGGGGTCATGTGGGAGGGTATTGATCAGAGAAAGGGAGGGCTCCTCAAAAGCGCCCATCCCGCCCCTCCCCATCAGGCCCCAGTTGGCCCCAAACCTACGATTGATGTATTCTCGCGGAGGCCTTCTTGGACGCTCAAACACCCCTTGCCGCCCTCCACCCCTCCCCCTCCCCGCCCAGACCTCCCCGAAAGGGAAGTGGAGCCACTCTAAATCACCGACGGCCTCAGGGGGCCAGTGGGAGAAGGTGGCCTTGTCCCGCTCTCCCCCCGCGGGGGTGCGCCAGGGCCAGGTGGGCGGCCCTCCGACCTCCTCCCCCCCACCTGGACTTCCGAGGAGTGCCCCGTCCCGTCGCCAGCACGGGCGAGCTCGGACGGGTCCTCGCCCTTTTCAGGCCGTGTCAGAGGCGGGTCACCACGAAGGGGGCCGCCAGCGGTAGAGGTGCCAGTCCCGGCGAACCGGTACCAATCCCGGCCGCCTGGGGCCAATCCTGCTGCGAGTGCTTTTGGCTGGGGCCAATCCCAGCTGCTCTTAAGAATAAGCTATGCTGGTCAATCCCAGCTCCTCCCGAGGGTCGAGGTTCGACGATCAGGGGCTGTCTGGTGCGAGTTCGGGGGGGCGTTTCTACATTTTCGGTTGTTTTTTTTATTTTGGGGGGGGAGGCCGTGACGGGCTGAGTCCTTCTTCAGGAGGCGGCGATCCCCCTCAGTAGTGACCCCCTTAAGGCCATGCCTGGGCCTCTCCCCCAGCCCCTCAGGTTCGCTGCAGCCGCGACGGCGGCGGCGGCCCTCATGACCCACAGAAAGAGAGCAGCCCGCGGCACGAAGTCCAGATGAAAGGTGGGGCTGTCTCTCCCTCCCTCCCCGTTGGAGCGGGTCGGCCCTTTCTCCCGTTGAACGCACGCTTCCCGCCAATCTCCGTCTTGGTGTAATCCCCTCACCCTCCCCCATTTCTCGCTTCTCCTACTCCCCCAATGCCCCTCCCCCTTCCTCTCCTTCCCGACTCTAACCCTTCCTGGCAATGGTTGCAGGGATGCGGCACGGAAGCTGGAGGGGCAGGATGAACCCCTCTCGCTGCATCGCCCGAGTCTTCCTCTCCATCCCTTGCTCTCTTTCCCCCTTACTATCGCCCCCCCTACCTCTCGCCTCGCACTGCCAGCAACCAGGACCGTCCCCTCGCCATCCCCCTCGCCCCTTGCCGAGTCCAACAAGTTCAACAAGATCGGCACCAACGAGCCCGGGGTGGGCCCCCAGGCCACGAAGGCGCCACAGCGCGCCGCCCGCGTCCGCTCCCCCACCCGCCCTCTGGCAGCGGGCGGGCGGGCAAGATTTATATACACGATCTAAGGCTCCAGCCCTCCCAAATCTACTCGGATCGCCCCGCCCCTCCCCCCGCTGGATGGGTACGGCTGGATGGGTATGCCCCTCCTCCCCCTGGTCGTGGCCCTGCGCCGATGCCCCCCCCCTCCCCCAGTTGGGTGTGGAGTGGGTCGTCGTCGTCGTCGTCGTCGTCGTCGTCGTCGTCGTCATAGCCCCAGGATCATACATATCCACGGCGTCTCTGATTTGTCGGGGGAAGGGATGCCAGCAAAAACGAGAGACGCAGTGAATGGCGGCAAGGATCCGCAATGGATATGGTCAATGATCTGGCCTCGCTGGAGATCAGTCATTTATCCATGTCCAACGCGCATCGGGCTTCTAGGCAATGAAGTCCGGAAGTCCGAGAAGACGCAGTGAACGTATATATTTATCTATACATCTATATATCTATAAATATGTATTTCTATATATCTATATACCTATATATATATATATATCTATATTTCGATCTACCTATCTGTCTATCTATCTATATATATATATCTATATATCTATATGTATATATATATATATACCCATATATGTATCAACATATAGTAGTGGCCTCCAGACAGTATCGCCGATCCGGAGTGCTACCGATTTTGCTTGCAACGGATGACCTTGTAAGTTTAAAAGTAGAGCATTCGCTCGAGACATCCTCATAATATAGAGATGTTGAACTCGCTTGGGCAACTTTCGGATATTCGAAAGGGACGATCTCGCGTGAACAGTCAAACTTACGGGATGTCCCCCCCCACCTTCTGGGCCCGAATGGCGTCAGCCATAGCGTCAGCCCCGCCACCCCCCGACTCCCCCGTCCCGGGCGTGAATGGCGTCAGCCATGGCGTCAGCTCCCCCCTTCCCCTTCTCCCCCCGACTTCCTCCTCGCGGGCCTGAATGGCGTCAGCCATGGCGTTCCCCCCCCCCCCCCCTCCCCCTCCTCCCCATGGCGTCAGCCCCTTCCTCCCCCCCGGGCCTGAATGGCGTCAGCCCCCCCCCCCCCCTCCTCCCTCCCGGGCCTGAATGGCGTCAGCCCCCCCCCCCCCCCTGCCCCCCCCCCTCCTCCCTCCCGGGCCTGAATGGCGTCAGCCCCCCCCCCGGCCCTCCCGGGCCTGAATGCGTCGTCCCCCCCGCCCCCCGACAGAGCGAAGCCCCCTTCCTCCTCCCTCCTGGGCCTGAATGGCGTCAGCATCCTCCCGGGCCTGAATGGCGTCAGTCCCCCCCCCCCTCCCGACAGAGCGAAGCTTATATAAACATATCATGTGTTAAATCGTCCCGGAGCGTCCGTAACGCTCTCAGACCGTTGTGGAGTTCGAGATATCCATATCGGCCGCAGCGCACGGTACATCCTCGAGGACCACGGGATCTCAGAGATCCCCGAGGTGTCCCGGTTGTGTGTTGTCCTGGTCTTGGCTTCGAAGTTTGGGTACAGAGTTCGCAGAAGGGGCTTTAGCAGAAGGGTCAGTAGGCCAGTGAGAAGAGCGCATTAGGGTATCCGGCGTCCTGCGGCGAGTCCCGCCACCGTGCCAGCCTAACATTTTGGTTGGCGCCTATTCGAGGGGGCACGGGAGACCGTCACGTGTGACACCTCGAGTCTCCAGGCTTGGGAGGGCCGTGATGAGGATGAGAAGGATCAATTATGAGGATGATGGGGATGATAATGATGATGAGGATGATGACTATGTTAATGACGATGATGATGATGATGATGATGATGATGATGATGCTGCTGCTGCTGCTGCTGATGATGATGATGCTGATGATGATGATGATCATGATGCTGCTGATGATGATGATGACGACGAGGAGGAGGAGTAGGAGGATGAGTAGGATGATGAGGATGAGGATGAGGATGTCAATGAGGATGATGAGGATGATAATGAAAATGAGGACGATGAGGATGAGGATGATGACGATGACGATGACGATAACGATACTGATGATGCTGCTGATGATGATGATGACGACGAACACGACGATGATGCTGATGTTGATGCTGATGCTGATGCTGCTGCTGATGATGATGCTGATGCTGATGCTGATGCTGATGCTGATGCTGATGATGATGATGATGATGATGATGATGATGATGATGATGATGATGATGATGATGATGATGATGATGATGAAACTCATGTGGGCCGGCTTGGGGCTGTCTTGGCCTCCCGTGAGGCAGTCTTGGGGGTCCATTGGAGCCCTCTTGGGCCGTCTTGGAGCCCTCTTACGCCAGCTTGTGGTTCTCTTGGCTCGTCTTGGGGCTCTCTTGGCCTTACAGCGGGTCTCTGGGGGCCGTTTTGTCGCCGCCTTGGGTTGCGAAGGTCCTTCTAAGACCGTCTTGGGTCCCACTGGAGGCCCTCTTGGGCCGCCCTGGAGCCAATGTGGGTCCGTCAGGGGTACTTCTTGGGTCGTCGTGGATATCTCCTGTGCAGTCTCGAGCTGGCGACAGCCCGAAAAAGCCGAGAACGCGGACAGCATTCAACCACCAACGGGAAATTATGGATGATGGCTTCTTCGGATTCTGTTGGAGGACCTCTTGTGGCTCTTTTGGGCCCTCTTGGAGGCATCTTGGGCCGTCTTGAATGAATATTCGGCCTGGACATCTTGGGCCGTCTTCGAGGCATCTTGGGCCATCTTGGTATCCTTGGTTGCCTGCACGGGTCGTCTTAGAAGCTCGGGACGCAGATCCATCGTCATCAACCAGGGATCGTGGCTTGGGAGCAGGCCCTCGAGCGCTTGGGAGCAGGCCCTGGGAATGCGGGAAGTGCACGATCCTTGAGCGGGTGCGCGTGGAATAAGGGGTCTAGGAGGTAGCAGGCATGCAGGGAGTGCGCAATCCTCGAGCGGGCGTGCATGGAATGAGGGTTCAGACATTAGTTGCCATGCGAGAAGTGCTCCATCCTCGAGCGGGTGCGCGTGGAAGGGGGGTCCAGGCCTTAGTTGTCATGCGGGAAGTGCTCCATCCTCGATCGGGCACGCATGGAATGATGGACCAGGCGTTCGCACCCTTGCTGGAAGAGCACCATACTACTCGAGCGGGCACGTGGAATGAGGGATTTGGTATGAGCTGCCACGCTGTAAGTGCACCATCCTGGAGCGGGCACGACCGATGTGCTCTCGGACAGGAGGGGCGGTGCATGCGGCAGTCTGCGAGTAGAGGGAGGGGGGGCCTTGAACAGAACTCAATTGCTCGACGCAGAGATCCCATGATGTGCATCGCTTGCTCCTGTCACGTCTCGCTGAGGATCCCTGTCTGTGAGCATCTGGGTGTGAAAGCGAGCCTGCGCAGACGACAGGCGCGACGACGACGACAGCGACGACTTCAGCGACGTCTTCCTGTTCTGGACATTTCAGGCGAGACGCGGGCAACACAGGCGGAAGATCGCGGGGGGGATTCGTTCTGCCGTTCTCACTGCGGCAGCTCAGGCAACCGCGCATGGCGTTCCTACGCCTGCTCTCTGGGGTACTACTCGCGGCGTTTGCTGGCACTTGGGTTACCCAAGTGCCACGCCGAGGAAATCGCGGCAGCCACTTGTGCGCACAACTTTGTACGAATGAGTCTAGACGTGAGTGATCTGAGTGTGTGCGAGTCGGAGTGTGAGCGAATCCGAGTGCGATCGGGCCTGAGTGTGAGTGGGGCTGGATATGATATGTTTGGGTACGAGTGGGTCTGAGTATGAGCGAGTCTGTTTGCGAGCGGGTTTGGGTGCGTGACGGTCTGAGTGTAAGCGCGCTTGGGTGTGAGTGAATCTGGGTGTGGGTGTGACGAGTACGAATCTGAGTATGATCGAGCCAGACTACGAGGCAGTTTGAGGATGCGGGAGTCTGAGTGTGGGTGATTGTGAATGTGGGTGAGTCTGAGTTTGAGTTTGTGTGGAGCGTGAATCTGAGTGCCAGTGAGTTGGAACGTGAGTGAGTTTAAAGATGAACGAACCTGAGTCTGGGTGATTCCGAATACGCGTCGGTCCGAACGGGGTAAGTGAGTCTGAGTGAGGAAGAGGTGTTTGTCAGTAAGCCCGAGTGTGAATGAATTCTGAAACCAAGGCCTCGTTTGCGACATCCTCGCAAAATGCTGCGAACGCGCTGGATGCGAACAGGCAAGCCGCACAAGACATCCCCACAATCTTGGCGCAAACGGGCCCGTGAGATACCCCTCAGGCGCCCCCCGGTGTGAACCGTGGAACCAGTGTTCCGTTTGAGACATCCTCACGATTTGTTGCGAGCGCGCAGGATGTTGGGCATGCACAGCAGGCAAACCGCCGACGACATGCCCACAATCGGGGCGTGACTCCCGGAGTGTCCCCACCCTTGGCGCCCCCCCTCGGAATGCCCAAGTGAAACGCCTGCTATATCGCGGTGAGCATTGGACCACCAAAAACACACACACACATCGTACGGCCCATAAATATCACACCGCCCGAGCGATTCTGAGTACGAACGGGTCCAAGCTTGAATCTGAGAGAAATAGGTGTTGAGTCTGAGTTTGAGTGGGTCCGAGAGCGAGTGGGTCTGAGTTTGAGTGAGTCCGAGTGTGAGCGATCCTGAGCGTACCCAGTGTGAGTTTGAGCGAGGCTGGGTATGAATGGGGCTGAGTATGAATGGGCCTCAGCGAGTGTGAGGGAGTGCGAGTATGAGAGAGTCTGAGTATGATATGCGAGGCTGATTGTGAGCGATGTGTAGTATGAGTGTGATGAGTGAGGCTGAGGCGGAAGAGGAGGAGGAGGAGGAGGAGGAGGAGGAGGAGGGAGGTGAGGTGAGGTGGGGGTGATGTTTCTCGGGGCCATCCGATTAGCAACACGAGCCCCATACGGTGACGGATTTGCGTGATGAGCCGCAAGTTCGGACGTAATCCAAGAACGGAGCCAAGGAAGGATAATGGAGTGCACGGGCAGTGCTGGAGCTAGGTC